GGAAGAAGCGAGCCTGCAAGCGTCGACTGCAGCTCACTCAATTTCTTTACGTGTTATCCCTCCCCTTCTACTTTACAATAGACGTTGTTTCATGCCACTTTCTCCCACACCCCGCCAAATTTTGGAATTATTTCAATAACAATGACAATATTAATAAAGGGACAATTACATATAAAAAGGTAATTATTTACAACTTCTAGCTACTTGTAAATAACGAAATTAAATGTGTAGAGATGAACATTTGACTTATAAATGGCATTAGAAAATAATTAATTCTCTAGGATTTGATTGTGATTCTTCCATTAATAACCCTTAAGTTGTCTGTTGACCCAAATAATAAACAACAACATTCAATGAAGCTGCCACGAGACTAGTCTCCTTTATCAAAGAAAGATATTTCTAATCTTAAAATGTTTATAAGAACAACAATGTTTTGAGACTAACGTTTTAGAATAAGTGATCTTGATATCTAAGTAATAAAATGTCTTGCTTAAATACTCACACATACACAATTCTCATGAATGTAGGGGTTGGCCCTTGTCCCAGATGAGGTGGGTTCAACCACATGACAAGAATTTAGAAAATAAATTGAAAATCTTAAAAATATAATTTTCAATTACATATTTTTGGATTATTCTTATTTCAAGGAGCTTGGGAGATAAGATAAGAATATGTAATCTAAAAATGCCATGGATATGAAGAAATTACATTAATGGGTTAAATCACAATATGGACTCTAAACTATAGGCTTAAGGACAATTTGAACTTTGAATTTGTATTTAGTACATTTTAAACCTTGAACAAATTAAATATGAGATAATCTAACCACCTGTTGTTAATTTTAAACAAACAGCTATTATGTGGGGCCTAAAAACTCTCTCTCCCCCTCTACCTCTCTCTACTTTTGCTCTACTCTCTCTTCCTCTCACCAACTTGAACTAGTTTGTCATAAGGAGGATAGTGCGTGACATTATGGAAAACATATCATGAGAAACAACCACTATTATGGAAGAGATCCTCAAGATTTGGAGCTCATAAGTGACATTAGCTACCCAATGATAGAACATGTTGACAACAATGGCATTGTGATAGAGATCCTAAAGAAGTTGCTGATGAGGTTGTTGGAGGATAAATGTTTATGTGGCGGGGTTGGTAGACATATCAATGTTGGAGATTTCAATGTTCAGAGGCAAAGTAAGAATGGTGAAGCAAAGGTTAAAATGTTGGTATCGAGGTGATGGATTTTGTAGAACTAAAGAGAGTTAGAAAGCATAATGATGATGATGTGGTTGGCTTTATAACATTTTAAAAAGTTAACCCTAAATTAATTAAGTCAAAGGAAGGTAATTAAATAAATTAATATGATATATGGATAGTGAATGGTTAGATAGGGCTAGTTAGAGTCATCAATTGGAGCCGAGCTTATTGAGCTGACTCTTTTAAGCTTGAAAAAATTTAGGTCAAGGCTACTGCTTTGACGTGTAAAATGATAAATTAAGCTTTTAAGTCCAAAAATAAAAGAGACAGCCAGGGTTAACCCTTTTAAGCCTTTTATATATTTTGTTTCACTTATTCCATGAAGGATTGTTCTATGGTTCAACAAGGGATTTAAACTTGACTAGTTCTCAATTGTTCAATAAAGAGGCTAGCCTAAGGGCACAACACCTTATGATGTGTGATTTAGGAAAAACTGTAAACCACAAGTGAGCACAACAGTCTTAGCTTAGTAACTTCTCATTAATGGAAGACTAAGATTTTCTAATTAATCTATTCTTTTGCGTAACGGATTCAAGATTTAAAATCTTATAGCATTTGCCGTGGCAGTTAGGCCTCGGCGTTCATTGGAGTCATAGAAGCTCATGTTGTCTTATTCTCAATATTCTTAATCTTTAAATCCATATGCTAGAAAGTAGCTACATCCTTTTAAGCTAGGGGAGAGGGTTTTTAGCTCACATACACCTCCCTATATAGAGTATAGAAGTCTTTAATAGGGTTATTAAAGACAATGTGGTTAAGAGGTAGTGAATAGCTAGGGCAACCTTGAATTGAACTGAAATAGAGAATCCTTACTCTATAAAGTAAACAACCCATATCTTCCTAGTTTAAAGAAACTAATTGCTTACTATTCTTGACCTTTGACCTTATTCATGGCAATCAACGAGTAAGGTTGATTAAAGACCATGGACAATATAAGTCCTTTTATCATGCATTATAGGGCATTAAAAGCCTCGTCACTTTTCCTCTTAGAAGGGCTAAGGGTAGGCATCTTATTCAAAAGGTAAATACTCATCTTTTCAAATGGGCAACGTCATTTCAGGCCATTAATTTGAGCCTAAAAAAATCAATAATTCTCTAAACCCTAATTTAAACCTTATATAAAGTCCAATAAGCCTAACAAGCCATTCAAACTCTATAATTAACTTCCAGATATCACAAGTAACTATTTAAAATTTTATAATTAATTGATCTAACCTTTGAACTAGAATTTCAAATGTTACACTTACTAATCCTCTTCAGCTAAATCCACTGAAAAGAGCAATTCAAATAAGAGCAAATCTCTTGACAAAATGAAAAATTAAGTCCCTATCTTTAGGTTCTTATTTGATCTAACATTTAACATTATCCAGATGAACATTTAACATCATGCAAATAAGTGGGAAATTGTTGGTTAAAAAAGAGTGGCTATGTGTGTGTGTGTGTATCACAGGAGTTAAAATTATGCTTTATACTTTTATTTCCACTTTTGCTTTACATTGGAAATATTTGAAAGGTGAAATGGAATATTAAAATTTACAAGTATCTAACTACTTCCTTTAACGGTTTTAATTACATCAATTTGATCTTTACAAGTTTACTATAAATTTATAATGACCAACAAAAAAATTTAAGGATAAAAATATATTTTTATCTCTGAAATATTTTTTGAGGAATATCCAACACCCTTACATTTTTATTGAAGTAATTTTACCTTTAAAGTGATTAAAACAGAACATTTTTGCCTTTTTCATCAACTTTTTTAACAATTAACATATGAGGTCAACGTTGGAAATTTAATAAAAAAAGCAAAAATGCTCTGTTTTAATAACTCTAGGGACAAAATTAATCCAATAAAAATGTTAGTATATTGGATGTTTCTTGAAAAATACTTTGAAGGTGAAAATATACATTTACCTAAAAATTAATGCCACCAACTGGATCTTCTATCGTTTTGACTTGAATACTGGAATATTTTGGGTTGGTACAGCTTCCGAGAGCAAGTTCTACTCTCCTTCCTCTATAGTGTTATATACATAAAAAAATTGATGTGGAATGTCTCGAGCCAAATGAAAATCATATTCAGAACAAGCCTCTAATTAAATAGTACTCTCCTAATCCTAATTTATAAAATACTTTAGGTAAAATTACACATACTGATAAACCTTATCAAGTACACTTTATAATTTTTTTTAAAATTAAGATATAAAAGAATATTAAAAAAAGAGAGTATATAAAAAAATAATATTAAAAAAATATTATTAATGAAACTTTATTTATATCTAAGAATGTGTTTGGTTGGAGGACTTTGAAAGGGAGGAGTCATTTGGTTAGAAAAATTTTGAATGAGAGGGGAGCCAAAATAACCCATCCCCTCCCTCCACATTACTCTCCTCTAAATTGAGGCTTTTTGGAAGGGAATTAAATTTCATGACTAATTTTGTCCATTTATATTTTTTAATATTTTAAGTATGTCCATCACATAAAAAAAAAAACTCATCCATATAAGATTGAGTTTCATTCTCAGACTTTGATCGCCCTTGTTGATTTCTTAAAAAAATTATAGTTCATCATGTTTTATTATATATTTAAGAGAGCTATTTATTTTTATAAAAAAATTATTTTTCATCATAGTTATTTATTTTTATACACATATTGACAATTTGATAGGATGAGAGTAAATTTTCAAAAAATTATGTAATTTAAATTGAGGTGTAAAATTATTTTATAGAGGAACAATTAATTTTTTTTAAATTAATATATAAAAATATAATAAAAAATTAGTTGCTATCCACTCTTTCCTTTCCTCTCTCCTTAAATCAAATAAATAATTATTAAAAATCTCCTCCCTCCCCTCCAATGAACAAAACAAAATAACATTAAAGTTTCCTTTCCTCTCACTCTTGACTAACCACGCCATGAATAGTTTGGGATAAAGGGAGCATGATCTTTTTCAGCTGTCATTTCTTTGTTATCAACAAACAGCACCAAATCGTCGATTTTTTTTTTTTTAAATCACATCTCGAACGAAAAGTTTAAAACAATCTTTCAGACTATTAATAACTCAATTATCAACGTTACAATCCTGTAAAAGATTTGTATAAATCTCTTCACGTTATAGCGCAAATATTGTCAATGATTTAGGCGCCCTTATGGCTTTGTCTCCTTTTACACCCGTCAATCAAAATTAATTAAATTAATATACGAATTTCTGACCATAATATAAAATTAGTACATAATCCTTTTTTTTTTTGTTTGGAAGAAAACAATAATACACAATTCAAAAAGAAGATATCAGCAAAGATTTTGGAAAATAAATCATCTACTTCTTCACTTCAAAACTATAAAATATTTTTAAAAAATTAAATATTTAAAGATATAAGAGTCTTTTAAAATATAATTATTATTTATTTTTTAAAATGTCTTTATTAATAATAATTTTATATTTATTATAATGTGTTTAATAAAAATAAATATAAAAATATAAAGTTAATTTAAAAATAAATAATTATTTTATTAAAAATAAAATTTAATTATAAATATTTTATATTTTTAAAGGGAGAGATTATATAATTTGTTAATGCAAAAGCCATGTCAACATGGCACGTGGGAGGCAATCATAGCGAGTAGCAACAAGTCAATTACTCGCGCGTGGTTTGGAACCTATGCCCCCAGTGAGGCTCAGGGAAACATCTGCTTGCCTCTTCTTTCGATCTTGCTTTATATAAATGGATGCTTGACCCCATTCTCCGTTCCATCTTTGTTCCCTTCCGAAAGTCTTTCTTCGCCACCATCCTCTCGCTGCATTGCGGCGGTTCTCCTCCGCTTACGTTAGCCTTAATCGCCTTGTTCTTTTCATTTACTCTCACCACACGAAGAAGCAGCGCCCACTCTTGAATTGAAGGCAATGGCTTCGGCTGCGAGGGCAGATCTCGATGGCAACCCTATAAAGCCAATCACAATTTGCATGATCGGTGCCGGTGGGTTCATTGGGTCCCACCTTTGCGAGAAGCTCATGGCTGAGACACCCCACAAGGTCCTCGCATTAGATGTCTACAACGACAAAATCAAGCACCTCTTGGAGCCTGCCACGCTCCCTTGGGCTGGGCGCATCCAGTTCCACCGCCTCAACATCAAACATGATTCTAGGCTCGAGGGCCTCATCAAGATGGCAGATCTGGTACTCTTCCTTATCCTCTCATCTAGTCATTTGATCGGCTTTCTTGGATGTGTACTTGAATTGTGGGATTCTTTCTTTGTAGACTATAAATCTGGCTGCAATTTGTACTCCCGCGGATTATAACACCCGTCCATTGGACACTATTTACAGCAACTTCATTGATGCGCTTCCCGTGGTAAGCATTCTTTACCTCGACGTTTCCCTCATTGTTATTCTACCGCCCACCGACGAATCTTTTTTGCTTGTTACTTTGGTGAGATGGAAAGTTTATTGAAATGGATGTGTCTTTTGATGGGGACGGGATCTGTATGACTTTCAGGTGAAGTACTGTTCGGAAAATAACAAGCGTCTCATTCATTTCTCTACCTGTGAAGTGTATGGGAAAACGATTGGAAGCTTTCTCCCAAAAGATAGCCCTCTTCGTAAGGTGAGCTTTCATTTTCCGAATTCCCCTCGTGTTTGAAGCTATTTCAGATCTGTGCAATATGAATGATAGTTGCACATTTTGTATAATTTGAACTGTTCGATCGCATGTATCCTGTTACTTGGAATCTGTCGGTGGTAGTCCTATCCTAGCTAAGGGGATTAAGCGGGAGCCTGTTTGATTAAAATCCATTAAATATATTTTCTGTCCCTAGCCTTTCTTATCATCCGGAGATGTTCTGAGCGAGCGAAGCTGTCTGTTCTTGGTTTTTATTTTTACATGTCCATGGGTTGTGGCTTTTAAAGTAAAGTGGCGTGGTGCATCAGTGAGGCAAAGGTACGGTTGAGTGGGAAATTAATCACCAATGATGTATTGCCGGGGCGTAATGCTCCTTTGGGTTGTCAATGGTAGCGGTGATATTAAACAAATAAAGACATTTCAATGTGTGGACTGATGCTCTGAACAAGCTCGAATATAACTTTGGTTGACTCTGGGACGATGTTGAGTTACTAAACATTACCATTGCGTCGAGCCTTTTTAATTTATACACCCTTTGGTCTTAAATGTAAATGTTAGAGCTGTATAACTAATTTACGCAAATTAAGAATATTAGTTAAATTATTTATTTGTAAAAAATGTGTGTTGATTTTTCTAAAATAATCCTCCTTGAAATTATTTACACTGCAAGCAAACTACTGTGCAATCAATAGGAGTAGTTTGAGAAAATATAATAAATATGGGAGATAAAGGAATTGAGATCTTACATTTAGAGCTAAATCATCTAAATCAAACCCCTCAACTATCTCCTACATTTAGGACCAGAGGAAGTAGCGTTTAGGGACTAGTAGTCACTTAACCACATTCAGTTCAGTTTGGTATATTTCATGAGGTATTTTAGAAATGATGGACTTGTTCAATTAACTGTCGTGTCTGGCTCTGTCTCAATTTCTTTTTTTGCTTCTATTTCTTTTGAGTGCAAAGGAGTGCTTCGGTGGTATTGAATTGGAAGAGGATGTTTTTTCTTGGTTGAGTTGGGGGTAAAATTGAGGGTGTGCACTTGTCATCCTAACTTTCTTTCTTTGCTTGCTTCTTGTCATGAGCTGAGAAATATCACTTCTTATGGTGAAGGATCCATCATATTATGTTCTTAAAGAAGATGAATCTCCATGCATATTTGGTTCAGTTGAGAAGCAGAGATGGTCTTATGCTTGTGCAAAGCAATTGATCGAGAGGTTAATTTATGGTGAGTTGATTTTTATTTTTAATTTACTGTCAGAAGTTTTTAATTTTTCAAATATTGGTTTGCCTAACTGATACGTCATTATTACAGCTGAGGGCGCTGAGAATGGCCTAGAGTTCACCATAGTGAGGCCTTTTAACTGGATTGGACCTCGAATGGATTTCATTCCTGGTATTGATGGTCCGAGTGAGGGTGTTCCAAGGGTTCTTGCTTGCTTTAGCAATGTCAGTCTCATTTTAGACTTATTTGACAATGCTTATTTTACCTTAACTTCTGAGTTTTTGATTACTCATTCTAAAGTTATTTTTATTCCTTTTCTGCAGTGTCTTCTACGACGGGAGCCCCTCAAACTTGTGGATGGTGGTCAATCCCAGAGAACTTTTGTTTACATCAAAGATGCTATTGAGGCTGTCTTATTGATGATTGTACGTTCTCTTATTTGGTCATTAATGTAGTTTTCCTTAGCAAAGTACAAATTGCGATTGTTGAAGCATGTCTCTAAAACTATTTTTGCCTTTGGCTGGCCCACTGAACCTGATAACCTTTTAATAGGAAAATCCTGCGAGGGCCAATGGGCACATATTTAATGTGGGTAACCCAAACAATGAGGTTACAGTCAGGCAGCTTGCCGAGATCATGACTCAGGTGAAGGGATTGGATTTGACTTTTTCATTCTCTGCTATTGGATGTGAGCTTCTTTTTTGTGTGGATCAAGAATTATTGTTCTTGGATTCTGCAGGTTTACTCAAATGTGAGTGGAGAACCGCCCTTGGAAAAACCTACAATTGATGTGAGCTCTAAAGAATTCTATGGTGAGGGATATGATGATAGTGACAAGAGAATTCCTGACATGACCATAATCAACAAACAGCTTGGTAGGTTTCTCGTTTCTTCACCTTATTAGGCCTTTCAATTTTACGAAGTTGCCATCCCTCTGTTAATGGGGTGTTGCCTCCTCTCTCAGGCTGGAACCCCAAGACCTCGCTTTGGGACTTGCTTGAATCAACCCTCACCTATCAGCACAGGACATATGCTGAAGCTATCAAAAAAGTTATGGCAAAGCCAGTTTCAAGTTAGCATGGTGCACTATCGCGTTGCCCCAGATATGTGGGTATTCTGTTAGCTTGTTCTTGCCAATCAACTCGACTCTACATGCATTATAAAGGTTCATTTTGCATATACGTTAATTTTTTCCCCTGATTACGTTAGCGGCCCATGCCTGTCGCAAATTTATACAGAGGACAGAAATTTGTTGAGGCAATCCTTGTTACCACTTAGTAATTTCCATGTAGAGCTTTGGGCCGCTAGACTTGTTGGAGGTCTTTTTACGAGAATTATTATTATTCTTTTAGGGATCTGCCAGTCCCCTGATTTGATTTTTTTCTCATGTTCAGATACACTTGCTGTGTTTGCCTCTCCAAGGCATTTGTGCTCTAAATTATTTATTATTAACTGCTTGTGATATAGTGAGTGTGTGGTTCTTTATAATCGGGGTCATAATCTGAAACTGAAAGTTTGGGTCCGGGTAAAGTATTGCACATATAACGTACCTGAAAAACTCTCAAAAACCAGAGAGAAAAATAACTTCTCCCTGAATTCCCATACACTGGCTTGCTCTTCCTACCAAACGAACCTATAATTAAGTTTTTATTCTGTTTGTTCTTAAAAGGCATATTGTTAACAGCTACTTTATGGTAAAAAAGAAGAAAAAGAATGATGCTTTGCCCACAAGATAATAAAGTAAGGACGCGAGGAATAATGTTTGCAAATCTGGGTAGTGTAAAGTGCTATCGTGCGAGTTCAGGTTCAATACTCTCTCTCCCCCCTCCCCATTTTTTGGCGTAAGAACCCCGTCGATAGACGATAATAAATAACTAGTTAGAACCATTTTTTGTCATATATACTTTTTTTTTTTGGACAAATAAGCATTAACGACAGATTAATTCAGCTTTCAGAACATGGGATGATGAGAGGCGTTTGATTCCCGGGATCTTTTCCATGTTCTGCCTTCCAATCTCGGGTATTAAAAATATTAATCTACTGGCTTTGAGGCCAATGATGAATGATGATTATGCACGGTGGTTTATGATATAGGTTGCTTCTCTTGTCAACCTATCCAAATGATTGAATTTGATGAGGGACTACTTAAATGTTAACCCTTGTTATTTAATCAAACTAATTTAGTGATATTATAACTTTAATTAAAGTGATTGTGCTTTGTTTTTTTGTAGTTAATAAACGTTACTTTTGTCGCACTACTCATAATTATTTTTGTGGTAGATTTTTACGTTCCTGTAAATGATTATTACATTTGCAGGGATGTGACTTTTGAGGATCATATTTCTAGAAAAATATGGCTACGTCTGGTTCAAATTTAATGGTTCTATGGTGCTTGTTCATATTGATTTCTACTATAGCAAAATTTTAATTTTAACATACACATGTATTATGTTTTTATCATTTTATAATTGTAATTTAAAAATATTATTTTATATTTATGGCGAATATATATTTTAGGATAAAATATCTTCATCTAATGAGGAGCTGGAATCGTGTGTTGGGCATTGGGTACTAGAAATTCCGACCTTATCTAAGCTCCGACGAACATGACTAGAGGTGAGAGGCATAGCTCATACCCTGGAGTAATACTTGACTCTGTGCCTTCATGATTCGCATAGATCTTTGTTCAAAAAATTTATGTGCCTTGTTTGTCTCGTGCGCTTCACAGTGATGCATTTAGAGAGATGTAAGGATGGAAGAAAGGACGGAGGAACATGTGTGTTAGCTTCTTCCTTGGGTAAGTACCGAGCCAAAGTTGACAGGGTACAAAAGTATCGCTCGACTGTGATTGCTGCTCATGTTCTTTCTATATAAGCATTTCATTAAAGTATAATTAAGATCTCTAATGACCGTAAGGTGCCTAATAAACTTAAAGGAAAGTTTTATCGCACTGCTATCAGACCGACAATGTTATATAGTAGTGAATGCTGGGCTTTAACGGGACAGCAAGAGCATAAAGTTGGAGTAGCAGAGATGAGAATGTTACGATGGATGTGCGGACATACACGTAAAGATAAAATTCGAAATGAGCACATACGCGAAAAAGTGAGGGTGGCACCTGTTGAGGAAAAAATGGTAGAAAATCGGTTAAGATAGTTTGGGCATGTACAAAGAAGACTAAGGGAGGCACCAGTGAGAAGAGTGGAATATATAGCTTTGAGTTCGATTAAGAGAGGTAGAGGAAGGCCTAAGAGAACACTCTTGAAAGTTGTTGAACGTGATTTCTTAATTAATAATATTCCTAAAAGCTTGATAAATGATAGAGCACAATGACGTTTTGCAATTCATGTATCCGACTTCACCTAGTGGGATAAAGACTTGTTGTTGTTGTTGTTGTTGTATAATTAAGATCTCTACCTGCTTCTCATTCTTACAAATACCCCTTAAGCTGATACGACCGCTTGGGACCAGTTATTGCCAACCATATCTCCTTTATTGTATTTGGGGTCCCCCACCATCCCAAATTTTCTCGTTATTGCCAACAATGGACTATGCAACTGCCTCGCTGGAATGTGTGTTGTGCGTTCCTTTCGTTCTTTGTTTTCATATGATAATCAGTGTTTGAAATTGACGGGTAACGATGTGCGTGAGAAGACAATCCATCCATTTTTATGAAACACGCTTTCTTTCTTTGTTTTCGTATGATAATCAGTGTTTGGAAGCGTTTCCAGATTCCATCTCGTGTTTTGTTCTTAGGATGATGAACCGTCCACCATGGGCTCTAAATTGAGGCTTCTATAGTGCTCTTTATATTGTGAAGTAATAGTTCAATTTCCAGTGAGCCAGATTATTCAATTATTACCTATGTATATATGTGTCATCATGAGCAGTCCCCATCTCAATAATGGCTGACCAATTCTCCTCTTAATATTCTAATTAAGGGACAGCTATCACTTGATACTAGTTGTGGTCCTGTGCCATTAATTTGTAGTAGCATCGAGGGGACGCCATGTCTTTGAGGGATTGTCTGAACTAACAAGTAAAACTCCTGGAGTGCTAAACTGTCGTTTCCTTTTAACCCTTTGTCTATGTCTCTATTGGTTTTTATCCCTCTCACACGTTCTTCCTGGCATCAAATCTATATTATTCATAGAATTCTCCATGGCTTATAAATTATCACAGTGATGATGACTTATAAACAAAAATGCTTTCTAATAATTTCTTTTTAAAATGCTTTTTCCCCTAACAATTTTTTTCCTGATAATCTTTTGGCAGCATGTTGATAAAATCACTCTTCTATCAGTTTATTGTGGTGTCCTTCTCAATTGCCAATTTAAATTATAATAAACATATATTTGATTGGCAAAAGTTTTAAAACAAGGGAAAGATTCGAAAGTGAGAATATAAAAGATATATAGCACACAAGAATATCTTATTCTCTACGCATTTCAGCTCTCTGCTCTGGTTTGAACCGAATATAGTTGATCCCGAGAGCAAAGTAAGCGGCAAGAAAGACATGAACTTTTTTTTCCCTTTTACCCCTGCCCATGTTGGGACATGATTATATAGGTTAAGTAACATTGACTGAGGAAATAATTAGTGTAAATTTTGTATCGAGATGAGAGATTATGCTTGCATCTATGTCAAATTTGGTTTGCCTTTTCTCTGGCTTTTGCCTTTTGAGGTCAGTGTGCCTGCCCTGCCTCGTCTCACGAAGAAGAAGATGGCCCCTCCTTGCAAACCCCGACACAATTATATATGCCAGCGAGCTTGCCTTAATCATCAAGCCAAACTCACCCTGTCTGTCCTGCTATTAAAATCGGAGTTTGCACACGTATATCCGTTTCTTGACAAAGTTGGTATCTCAAAACATGTGTTCAAGTTGAAAATGAAATATGCCCACCAAATCTTTTGATGACGTTGGTACCTAGGACCACCGCATGAGTTTCTTATGATACAGATATTCCTTTCAATTAATTTATTAAGAATGGACTTCAGAAAAAGTTATGATATTTTAAAAATGAGGGCAAAAAATGCATGATTAGAGGTTAAGTTGTTAACCATCGATTCAATTGTTAAGACACTTCGACTGTGCTTGGCAGGAAAGAAGAAAAGTAGGGGAAAAAATGACATTTTTCTCTTGTTTGGTTTAAAAAAAATATGAGGGAGAAAATTAAAAGGAAAATAACAAAGAGACTATAATATAGAGAAAATTGAAAGGAAAATAACATATCTGAATATATATTTTTAAAAAAATCATGAAAAACATTAAAATATAATTTCAATTCAAAAAATAACCAAACTAGAACACACACACAATCTTTTATATTAATATTAAGTAAAACATAATCATTAATTATATTTCTATTCTATTTATATCTAATTACTTGTTGCTAGTCTTTGCTGAAAGTTTTCTACTTAGGGTACATATGCCAAAAGATTATATTTATATGTTTTTATAATTAAAAAAAATATAATTTTTATCTTTTTTTACATTTAGAATTTTTTAAGGAAAATATAATCTTTCACTTTAAAGGCAAATTACAAAATATATTAAGAATAAAAAAGATTAATACTATAATATTTAAAAACATTTAATTTCTTAAAAATAGCCTTGAAATATAGTTTTTAAAGTATCAACTTGCAATTTAGAAGCATCAAATGTACATAAAAAAATTAAATTTTTTAAAATTAAAAAATAATATCTTAATACTTTATGGATATATATTGAAGAAGTATCAGCGAGTATGCGAGACAATTTGAAATATCAATTTTTCACATTATAAATAACTCATATGTTTTTACTTCTAACTTTTCTCTCCAAATAGAAGGAAACTTTGAAGAGAAAATTCAATTTTCAAATTTAGTCATGAATTTTTTTTGTCTTCTGCCTATTGCCTCCCTCCATTTTCATCTTAGTTCCTCCACTTTATAATTTAAATTACTATATATTTAACAATTTAAGAAATAAAAATTAAAATTGGACAAAATAATTTTTTTGCTAGCATTGGATAAAGAATTTAAAATTATGTTTTTATTTAATAAGTAGTATGTAATAAAAATTATATAAATAATATGTTAAAATATTAAATTTTATTATACGTAAATATTTTTATGTAAATAATAATGTTATTACTGTTCATATGGAATCAATAATTTTTTTTCTTTCATTTCCTCTTCTTTAGCTAAGTATAAGGAAAGAAAATTACATCCCTCTACTTCTCTCTCTCTATTTCTCTCCTCAATTTTTTTTTCTTTTCTCAATTTTTCCTTGTCAACCAATGACAACATACATTCAAATTCAATTAAAAAATGGATTTAATTATAAATAAACATGTTAATTAAAAATTACATTACTTTTTTATTAATTATTAAACATGTTTCTAAACTTCACTTCTACTCTCAACTTGACTTTGTGCCCGTTTGGATAAGAAGAAAACGCGCGTTTTGAACTCAAAATTAATTTTTTCTGTCAATTTATCCAAACGGTCGAAAATGATTAAAAAAACGCGCGTTTTTCCAGAAGCTCCCTCCGTCCGCTTTAATAAAAATAAAATTAAACTCTCTTCTTTTTCTTTTTTTTTTCCTTAATAAAATTTAAAATTTATATATTTAAAAAAATTAATATTTGATATTTAAAAATTAAATTATATAGTTAAAAATTAATTTTGATTAAATTATCCAAATATCTTCAATTCTGTTAAAATCAATTTAAAAAAACAGTATCCAAACAGATTACGTTATAACATAATCAATTATGATTAAAATCTATCACTTAATCAATTATTTTCATAATCTATTATACCCAACTGAAATCTAAACGGACACTTCTAGTTCCACCTGCAACTCCGTTTTTACTTCTTTCAAGACTCTTTGACAAAACGGGTCATTACATGAGCTATTCCTCCCACCAATCTCATCGAGAACTGAGAACTCTCAGGCACAGACGTTGAAATTAAACTCGGAAGTCAGGGTGTGGCCAAACAAAAAAACTCGGAAGCCAGAGTATGTCCAATATTTAATAGGAGTTATTGCAAGTCATTTGATGACAGGGTTTAATTATTTTAAAGAATTGATTGATAATAAAATGTCCCTGCCTTAGCATATTTAATTTCATTGATTAATCCTCCCTCTTAGATCAGACTAGAGCCGGATGGCCGGAACCCGGAACCACAAGGCCTCCGTGAAGGGCAGTCTTCTTCATTAATCAAACGCGAAAACACGCCTGTTGTCGCAGGACCACGGTCCTGGATGTTCCACAGTCCACACACAATCCGAAAGAATAAATATATTAATAATTCTTGGCAAATACAAAATAGGAAAAAAAAAAAAAAGCACCAGGGAAAAGAGTCATGACGACGAGGGGACAGAAATGATTTCCGCTCGCTATTAGTACTTCCTGTCATTGACAATTTTCTTATACAAGCCGGCTAAAGCCCCTGGCGGTCCTCTGGACGCTCTTTCCTCTCTGTCCGTCCTTGGCTCTTTCTACTATGCTTTTGCTTCTCTTCACGTATCATATACTTGACTTTTCCTTTATTCGACCGTCTCTCCTGTCGTGATCTGTGCTTCATTTCCTGTTTTGCAGGCTAATTCATTCAATTCTGCACAATTTTTTTTTTTTTGCCTTTTACTGCTCTATTTTGGTGAGGGACTTTGTTCGGAATTTGGGATTGAAGGTGGAAGTTTTACTGCGCCATTCAGTTCGTCTTTTAATTAATAAGGACTTCCCGGGGTTCCTGATTAGCTGTAAAGACCCACTGTTCTTGCACGACCTTATTGGACTCAGTGGGACTTCCATTCTTGTTCTGTTCCTTCCGTGCCTTCGCACAATTCAATTCTTTATCCTTTTCCCTTTTTCTTTTTTATTCCACCGAATTGGAAAGGCAGCGATTTCAGGTCACCCCCAACAAAATGTTGTTGCTTTGGTGGAGTAACTGAGTGGAAAACGAAAGCCTTTCCTTCCTCATCCATGGCTCCATCCGGGAAGGTGTCTGGGTTTCGTCGAGAAGGCAATGACTGGTATTCCCTATCCCGAAAGCTCCTTCCTTTTATTTGTTCATTTTTAGGCTCAAGTTGTGTTACCGAGTCCCGAAATTCGCATCCTTTCAGTGCTCGGTTGGATGATCCTTCGAAATCCGAATCAGGTCCTGAATTACATTTTTGTTTTGTCGGAGCTGATTATTGTGGGACTATCAGGAAGAAACTCATTCTGCTTACCTTTTTTACTTTTTTTTGGGGGGGGGGTTTAATGATATATCTTTGATGGTTTTCGTGGGTTTGGTAGGTTCTGCAATGCTGGACTGCCGAGCGATATCACTGTTTCAATCGGGGAAGTTACTTTCCATCTTCATAAGGTACTCCTTCTTTGAGGGAATTTCTGCCATCTTTTATCAATGGTCGTTCTTCAATCTCTTTCCAGAAAAGTCTGCATCTTATCATATTAGCCAGGAAGATGACATAGCAGGAGCTTTTGTGGTATTGGATGTTCCTACTTATTTCTCTCTTGTTCTCTGTGGTTCTCTTTGAAGCTTGGTCCAACACTATCAATGAGTTCGGGTTTAACGTTTTGTTTTGGGGCTTGGCATATGCGTCTGCAGGCTAACTTAGGTTGAGAAGAGGAAGGGAGAAGTCTACCATAATGATGGATTTTTCTTTTTCAGCTTATTTGATATTTTTAAGTTGCTAATTAAGTTTACTTGAATATTATTGGATCTAGTGAGTGCTATAAACTTCATTGATGCAAATTTACGAATACTAATACTAAAATAGCTATTAAACTTTCAATTAGCAATGAAGCAACAAAGTTTTGCTGAACTTGTGACCTTGCTAACTGAGAGATGGTAACTTCAAACATGATTAATTTATTTGATACACTGTTCAAAAGTTAATAGCTGCTACATGACGTGTGCTGCCCTCGGTTGGGGAGGTAATATTTTATGAAGACTTATTCCTATTTCTGCTCAATTAGTTTACTAGGCCCTCTCTCTCATCAGAATCAAATACAAGTTTATGATATATCTGGCATAGTTTCGATGGCAAAACATTTATTTGTATTGACTTTATGCATAAATGCACTGTATAGTTGGAGCACGTATCTAAACACAAGTCTTAATCTTGTGGTAGTCATTCTTTTATGCCTTGACTATGAAAATTACAAGTTGTTCAATTATACCAGAGTTCAAGACATTATATGTCCATGGTATTGCAGTTCCCTCTTGTATCCAAATGTGGAAAGTTTTCTCAAGCATATGAAGAGTCAAAGAATGCCAATCAGAAGACTATGAATATGGTGCTGGAAAAATTCCCTGGAGGCCCTGACACTTTCTTAATTGTGGTGAAATTCTGTTATGGGATTCGCATAGAACTGACAGCCAGAAATGTATTGGTGGTCCACTGTGCTGCAGACTTTCTTCAAATGACCGATGAATATGGAGAAGGAAACTTGGTCTCAAAATCAGAGAGTTTTTTCCATAAAAATGTATTACACAACTGGAAAGATTGTATTTTGGCTCTTCAAAGTTCTGAGCCTGTTCTACCAACGGCTGAAAATCTCCATTTAGTTGGAAAATGTTTGAATGCTCTATCTATGATGGTTTGCACAGATCCAAGTTTGTTTGGATGGCCCATGATGATGTATGGAAGTTTGCAGAGCCCTGGTGGAAGTATTTTATGGAATGGCATAAATACAGGTGCAAAAATTCGATGCTCAGATTCTGACTGGTGGTTTGAAGACATCTCATATCTCAGTGTGAGTTTGTTTGAGAGACTTACTAAGACAATGCAAGCAAGAGGTATAAGACCTGAAAGCCTGGCAGGGGCCATAATGTACTACTGTAGAAAGTACCTACCAGGTCTGGATCGGTGGCAGGGTGGACAAAGTGGTAAAACAAGAACAGTTGCAAGTTTCAGCTTGACACCGGCTGCTGTTGACCAGAGAGTTCTGTTGGAAAGTGTTGAGAAACTTCTTCCCGAAAAGAAGGGAAGTTCATTTTGCCGTTTCTTATTGGGACTTCTTCGTGTGGCTTTGATTTTGAATGTTGATCAATCCTGCAAGGATTCTTTAGAGAGGAGAATAGGGATGCAGTTGGAATTGGCAACTCTGGATAGTCTTCTGATTCCTAGTTATTCAGACTCCGATACATTGTATAACACAGATTGTATTGAACGAATTGTGCATCATTTTGTAAATTCAGAGTCCTGTATAACTGCCTTTTCTCCTTCTTCCGTTGACATACAAGCATCTTCAGCATCTGAATCATTAAATAAAGTTGCAAAGTTGATGGATAACTATATTGCTGAAGTTGCTTCTGACGTGAATTTGAAACCAGGAAAGATACGCTCTCTTGCAGGCGCCCTTGCTGAGTCATCAAGATCATTGCATGATGGACTCTACAGGGCACTGGACATATATTTCAAGGTTTGATATTTCTTGGGCTGCTCTTTTAAATGAAGGATTCTTTATGGCCATATTTTGGTGACTTGATGATTGCTCGCGATATTGTGCAGGCACATCCTTGGCTGTCAAATAAAGAGAAGGAAGAACTGTGCAACATCATTGACTACCGGAAGCTCTCCATTCATGCTTGTGCCCATGCATCCCAAAATGATAGGTTACCGCTCAGAGTTGTTCTTCAAGTCTTGTTCTTTGAGCAGCTGCAGTTGAGAACAGCATTAGCTGGATGTCTTCATGCATTGGATGCTGAAATTGCCCCTGCAGCTCCTACAACTGTCCCTGGTGATACAGCGGGCCAACTTGTACAAAGGGATGGATGGGTGACTCTAGTGCGTGAAAATCAAGGTTTAAAGGTGGATATGGAAAGAATGAGGTCTAGAGTTGGTGAGCTGGAAGCAGAATTTGGCAAGATAAAACAGGAAATGAAGAGTGTGACCAAATCACACAGTTCGCTCAGTTCTCCTCGTTTGGTTGCTCGAAAAATAGGGTGTAAGCTTGTTCCGCGACCTTCAGATGCCCAACCAGAATCTCTTAACCGAAATGGATCCACACCGAGAACATCCATTGAGCAGGCACCGCATTCTCATCAGTCCAAAGTTAGACACAGAAAGAGTTTTTCTTTGGTTTAAGTGGTACATAGAAATCAGGGTCTCTCTTTACATATGCATAGCAGTGGTGTGTGGTTTTAATAGTGTCTGTACGAGGGAAAGGGAAGGAAAATGTTTTCCTCAATTAGTCCATTGTTTTTTCTCCAAGAAAATTACGTCTCTGGACATTTTCCATTTCTTTCCCTCGTCTGAAGTTGGTACACTTCATAGAGGCAAATGAATATATACTTTCCTGATAGCTTTCTCCCCGTGGTTAGTGTCGGGGCATGCCAGCTGAATTTATCATTTGGTCTGATTCTTCATTTGAAGTTCTGAAAAGATTTTTTGGTCCTCGTCTTTTCATTTGAGTGGCACTGTTATTATGTAAGCACAGAATCAAGCATGTAAATTTGCCAAAGAGGGGAAGCTGGCGCGGGAAGATTTTCGCTGGCAAATGAATACACCGTAAGATTGGTAATGGACGATGTTTCATTTTGTACAATAATTTGTATGTTAGGCAGTCGATAAATATAATACTGGCTTTCCAGTTGATGTTCTAGTTCTAGATTCCTGCGAGGCGAATTCGTTGTATACCATAACACTGTACAAATGTAAAAAGTATGCCTTTTAAATATATTCTAATAGTTTTCCTTTTCATATTATGCGTGTGGTTAATTACACACGCTTGTAGAATGTGCAAGGCCATAGAATTCAGAGTCGTGTAAAATGTGGGCACAGATTCCTTGCACCCAGGAATTGCTCTTGCGAAATTTGAATCAAGGCCAAAGAATATTCAAAATTATGGGACATTTTTTCTACTCTTATTTTGACGCTTTCTATGAGTAATGATTTTTTTTTAAAAAAAATATTCTTTACCCAATGAGTATTTGATGAAGTTAATAAGATTTGTATATTTATTTGTAGTTGTGATGCAAGTTAATCTATTGAATGATGGCAAACATAAAAAGTAAGTAATAAGTAATTTCAAATAATTGAAAACCTAGCTGCAAAATATGTGTGACTATAAATAATATAAAATATTTATTTCAGGGGAGGCTGCCCCGAAGCCCAGAGCTCCCACCGTCCCGGCTTCCCCCTCCAGTCCCTCTCTTCAATAGCATAGTCCTTTGTCGAAACTCCGGGCATATTGACACTATCACAAACATGGCGGTTTGTCCATCGACCATCAATGTCTCGAACATCCACAACTTTTCAAACACTTGCGCTTCCGCTGGGCAATACGCTTTCAAACTTCCACTTGAAATCAAAAATTGTGGTCGTTTGAATATCACAAACTTGGATCAAAGGAGCCACATGCCCTCGTCTCTTTCTATTCATTCACCTGATAGAAGACTTGGTTTTAGCATTCGATATATCGGATCAGACGCCGTGACGAAGACCACCACCGAGTTGGATGAGTCCACATGTGATAATGGCTCTCAACCATTAATTGATCGGGATGGTGGGGATGGGGGTGGTGCTGGTGACGGTAGTGGGGGGACTGGCGGCGGCGGCGGCGGCGGTAACGGGAATGATGGTAGAGATGAAGATGAGGAAGAGTTCGGTCCGTTATTGAAGTTCGTGGAGGTTATGAAAGTCGCAGAAGCCCGGGGTGTGAAGCTGCCTTCGGATATGACGGAGGCAGCGAAGGCAACAGGAGTTCGGGAAATGTTCCTTCTTCGTTACTTGGAGTTACAGGTCAATTCTTGATCCTTTTTTTACTTTCTAGTTGATGAAGCTGAAGTTCACTTTTTTGGTTTTTTTCCCCTCGTGGATTTCTTCTGTATAGGGTCTCCAGCTTGCTTGTATCAAAGAGGGAGGATTAACCATTGACCAACTTACACGATGATTTTGGCGTTCATATTGCAGGGTTCGGTTTGGCCGCTGGGTTTTTTGATGAAGCATTGTTCAATGCTTCGAAAGAGAATGCTAGCCGATCCTTCTTTCCTGTTTAAAGTTGGAACAGAGGTTTGTTTCCGATGACTTTGAAGACGTTCTCTGAAGAAATCGTTTTGGCATTCTGGGAGATGTACTATATGATAAACACGGCATATTATTTTTTGATTGCCATATGCAGATTGCTATAGATTCTTGTTGTGCAACGTTTGCAGAAGTTCAGAAAAGAGGCAAGGATTTTTGGGCAGAATTTGAGTTGTATGCGGCCGATCTTCTGGTTGGTGTGGTTGTTGACATTGCTTTAGTTGGCATGTTAGCACCTTATGCTCGGCTTGGGCAGTCATCTGTGTCGAGAGGTTTGCTTGGACGCATTCAACATGCTTGCGCTGCTCTTCCTAGCAGGTTAGCGTTTGCACGTATGTTGAATAACCGTGCAGCTCTTTTCCAATTTTGCATATGGTACCTTTGAAGAATTATTGCATCAACAGTCAATTCTTGACTCTCTTGTGATGTTCTTCTATATGATCGGATGCTTGCATATTTGTGCATTGTTGACAGATTATTGAGCGGAAAAAGAGTGGGCGAGTTATTTGAGAAAAAGAAAAGTGTGTGTAAATTATGTAATATTTAACTGTGGTTATTCAATTTACACACACCATAAAATGTTTGGCACATGCTCTTGCCGCAACCAAATGATGGAATGAAAAAAAAGGAGGGAAATGCTGTTACTTTTATGTTATTTCTCTAAAAGAACACGGTAAATAGCTTTTTCATACGAAAGAAGTTCATCTGTTCTTGTAGAGCTTAGCATGACCAATTATTATTTATACTATTATCATTCATATTAATTAAGGTAGTGGTTCATTTATTCTGTAAAAGTGTTGTATGTGGAAGCTATGGCAATTTGTAATTTGAGCCTTCAACTGAGGCTCCCTATGCTAAAGTAAGAGTAAAGAATATTTCCAAGGACCATATAAGGATGCATTTCTTCCCTCTATTAATGAATTGGATGCTTGTTGTTTTGCTTCACAATAATTAAAAGGTTTAACATTTTTGTTAAGATCCTTTTGAATGTGACATACTCAATTACGTCTCAAATGCAGTGTTTTTGAAGCTGAAAGGCCAGGCTGTAAGTTCTCAGTGATGCAACGCATTGCAACATACTTTATAAGGTACTACTACATATTCAGTAGTAACCAAAGAACTATTTTATTTTGTGAGTGTGTTGATAATAACGAAAGAGTTTTTTTTTTACTATATACTTCAACTAGAATATGGGTCTTGTGCTTTGCAAAAGTTTGAAGTGAGCTGCATTTTTCATGGTTTATGAATAGTGTGTCTTCCTATGAATTTTATATTATGTATGGACAGGGATGATAATAAATTATGAATGCTTTTAATTCTGTGCTCAGGGTGTATTGTATGGATCAGTTGGGTTTGGATGTGGCCTAATTGGTCAAGGAATTGCAAATACGATAATGAATGCCAAAAGGTAAATCTCTACCTGTGTGAATCCTGTAATTATCTGTCTTATAGACTCAACCATTGCTAATTTCATGGTAATTGTACTTTGAACTCTCATGGATTTGAATGACGAAAAGTTATCAAGTTTAAATTTAGAACTGGACTTAGCGGGATAGGAAATTATGTTCCTGTACTGTTGTTTTCCTCTGTAAAGTTTTGTCTTAACTAAAAATATTTCTTTTAATTATTAATTAATACTCCCTCTGGTCCAAAATATAAGCATTTTCTTTTAGCTAATCTTGGTTCAAAATATAAGCAATCTAGTACATGTAAAATATTTTCCCCTGTTTTATCCTTTATAATTATTAATTTAAATTCTTGTATAAAGTTATCTCTCACTCATCATGAAGTGTATTAGTAATTGGGATAAAGGGTAAAAAAAGAAAACAATATATATTTTTATGAGAATGGGATTTTTTTGGTATGCAGAATTTTCCTAAAAATTACTTATATTTTGGACTGGAGGGAGTATAACATGGCACCTACGGCTACCAGCGCCTGTATTGTGTCCGTATATTCCTGTTTGATACGTGTTCTTGTGTTTAATTAAACAGGAGAATTAAGAAATCTGAAGAGGACATACCTGTGCCCCCTCTTGTTGAAAGTGCTGCTCTCTGGGGTATGTGTTTTTACCGTGTTATCTCAAAATTTGTCTTTTAGCCATCTTTATATGTTTGAGCATTATTATAATTTGAATTCATTGTGGACCTCTTAGTTATGTAGAGGATGTGGATGTCACAATTATAGGAGTTAGTGCCATGTTCTTAAATCCAGTTAATTGGGTTGTGCTGTTAATCAGGTGTGTTTCTTGCGGTGTCATCCAACACTCGATATCAGATTGTGAATGGATTGGAAGGCCTTGTTGAAGCTTCTTCCGTGGCGAAGAAGCTCCCACTCGTTGCCATGATTTTCACTGTATGTGTGCGATTCGGCAACAACATATATGGGGGCATGCAGTTCGTAGACTGGGCCAAATTGAGTGGGGTGCAATGAGCATGCACGCTTATTTACTACAATTCTTGAGCCAAATGGAGGATATATTCTGGCTCTGTCTCTTCCTAAAGATTCTTTTGAGTTTTGAACTTGAGTTCCTTTTGTCCGAGTCAGAGGTTGCTCCTCAAATCCTCCTGCGAAGTCTGCATAATAATCTTTGTTTGGAGCACTGGCCATCATTGTTGTCATTATTAATTAGTGTTAGTATAGGACATTTCCCTCCTCTAGTAGCATTCTTTTTTCTACAATAACATTTGTTAGCCAACAAATTGTATGGTCTCGTTTGCTTTTTAGAAATGAATGAATTGAAAAATAAAGATAAAAATAAAATGATAAGAGAGGATAAAGTGAAAGTATTCATAAGGAGCATGGGTAATTTAATTTTTGGAGTTAGAAATTATAATTCATAAAATTTTTAGAGAGCAATAATTCTAACATTTATAATATATATATTAATAAATTTTATTATACTTATCATTGAAGAAAGGGAGATTTAATTTTTTTTATTTTTATTTTGTTAATTCATTTTATATTTTTTCAGTAATTAAACCACACCTAAAAGTAGAAGATGAGGCATTTTGAAGTCTGCCTGTGTCCTTGCAATGTCAGCTCTTTGAACTAGTAGGTGACTGGTGTGTGGTGTCAATGCTGCCATTAAATCTCCCCTGAACAGTCACCGTTGTTTTACCAAGAATGAAGATTCTGTAGACAAAATTTATCATGTCAGTTTCACTTCATGCACAAAACCAATGGACCTTCCTGAGAACCCAATCCTTTGCGAAAGATTGAAGGTTACAAATTTTTTTTTTGGACACAAGGTGCTGATATCTTTATACGTATATAATTAAAAGGTACAAAAATAAATAAATAAATAAATAAATAATGTGCCTAGCGTTTTGTTTAAAGTTCTATATGGATCATGTTGCAGTTTAGATCAGCCCCACCGAGTCTGTAATCAATTGGTAGATTAAGAACCCAAGTGGAAAAAGGGAAGAATCAGTTTCAGCACCAAACAATCTTGATAGCAAGTCATGTCGTGGTATTTCATTTGTGTTTTAATCGCTTTCAAACTTGATTAAGGACGTAGTAAATCTAACGTGTATTCGGCTGTTAGCACAATGACGCGGTAAATCTAATGTGTATTAGGCTACCAGCACCGTGATGGTGTAAGACTAATAATTCATCTCCGTTTCCAACTTGAAATACTTTAGGCAAAAAATGATATCGTCACAATTCCTGAATTTTGCAAAATTTGATAAAATGATGTGATATAGTGCATTCTTACACATTCAAAACAACTAAATAAGTTCACAGCGACTGTCACTGTGATTTAATCAACGAAAAATTATTTTTACTCAAAATGTTTAAAATGGAAATTAAAAGCTACCATTAAAAATCGAACTAATATTTTAAAATCAAATCACTTATTTATTCTTAATCTCATGCTTCTTTCATTGCTATTGATCAAAGGGTAAAATTTTAAGCGTAGAAAAACCTATAGTTAGATGGAAAAAAGATTAATAGTTGCAAATTGTTTCCCCCTTGATTATTGACGGGAAGTCGGGAACTATTGTATCGCAACTTGGCAGAAAAAGGGGTAAGAATGTGAAATTGACCTGAAAAGATACCCTTAAAGAGTTGACATAAGAAAATGCAAAAGCTCACGATTAAAAGGAAGGAAAAAATAAATTGAAATACAAGACAAAAAAAGAGAGGCTATAATAGTAACAACCCAATACCAGCATCCCTTAGTCATAGAATCTGTGTTATCCAACATGCTGGTTCTCAACAGGGAAAAAAAAAACCAAAGAATTGTATTAAATGAAATGAAATGAAAAAAAAGAGAGAATGACAAGTAAACACCCATAAAAATATTAATGTCAAATTATAATTTTTTTAACATTAACATTCTTAAATTTAATATTCTTTCTCCTACATTTTAATTTAATAATAAAAATCTTCATCTGGCATTAATTTTTTTACAAGATTCTTGGTTGCCATTAAAAAAAAAAACCAGAGAGAGAGAGAGAAGAAACTGAAGAGAATATGATTTCAACAGTATTAGGTGGAAAATGGAATGATGAAATTGGTAATGGTAAATAAAGGTCGTCCCCGCACTGTCCGACGGCTTTTTCAATTTTCTTCAGTCCACCTTCTCCCTCCTTCTGAACTCTTTCTCGCTCTAGATCAAGCATTGCCTGCCCTCTCTCTCTAACTGAAATCTCTTTTTGAATTCCCGTTCTTGAAATAGAGCTGATCTTCTTCTAGATTCACGCAATTAACCATTGTCTCGGATCCATTTCTCAGCCCATCTGTGCCTGTGATCTAAGATTTCACAGCCGCAGAGGGTTGCTCTCTCCGGCTGGATCTAAACGGAGATGGCGTTGTCGGGGATGAGAGGTCTCTCCGTCTTTATCAGTGACATACGCAATTGTCAGAACAAAGAGCAGGAAAGGCTCCGGGTCGACAAGGAGCTGGGAAACATCCGAGCCCGCTTCAAAAACGAAAAGGTTAGGGTTTAACCTTAGTGCACTCGTTTTTGGGCTGTTTCTTACCAGAGACCATTCCTCTGTAATGTTGCAAAGTTGGTTTCTTCAAGCATTCGAGTTTGTTTGATTAAATTGGGAGTTGATATTTCGTTTTGGTTTTGATTTCTTCGAAAGAATAACAGAAAAAGAAAATTCAAGTTTTCATTTTTTTTCTCCGCGTTCATTATTGACACTAATTGGAGCTAGAAGTTCCTTTGCCTCTATGCCCTTAGATTGACTAGCATATTCCGAGTTAGGAAACTGCAATGTCATATAAATATTTTATTATTTACAAAGGCTTCAACTCTACTGGGAGTTTGATGGTGCTGCTTCTGTGACTCTAATGTCAAAATTGATGTTGCGTTCTGCTTTTTTGGCTTTCAAGCTCATTTTGCTTTGTCTTTTTTGGGTGATAAAAGCTGGGACTGATTAAGAGCATTATTATGGTGTCTCCTGTTGGTCAACGGTCAAAATGACATGGACGAATGTTAAGTTAATGCATTCAAGATCATGTTGTAAATAGTTGAATGTGACTATTGTTGAAATAGTTGAAATAACTATGACTTGAACAAATGCCTGTTGGTTCCCGAAACTCATGTAGTAGTATGTTTTAGTTACCATATGAAAAATAATGGCTTGACCGGTAGGATGGTCCAGAAGTGGTGTGGGGTGAGGCGGGATCCTTGAGTTATTTACCATAGATTAATTGTTTGAAAGGTAACAAGTTTGTGTTTGTTTTGGTGGTATGGAAACCATTGTAACCTTTCCCACCCTCCAATTTTCAAACCACTCCAAATTGGACAGTTTGCGTTTTTTCTTGATTTTCTATTATGTGCGATTCTATAACCCACTCCATTCATCTATTTATTCTCTCTTTTTTGAAAATGTCAACATATGATGATAAATATTGGATTTTTATCCCTTCAAACGTGCCCTAATCTATTAGTGATATTGTAAAGTCCAAATAGCAGAACATGTGATACTACCCATTTTTTAGTTAGAAGTCAAACAAGTGGGTGAGTTGTCTCCCCTACCCCACTCTATTCAAAACTCCCAATTGGGCCCTGAAGGCAGTCATGCTAACCTGAAAAATGTCTAGCAGTGAGTCTTTGGACTGGACAGATCAGCGACATCTGATTTTAAGCAAAAAATTGAGCTATCTGTAATTGCTTTCTTGTTACATCCCTTGCTTGACTGAACCATTCCATTATTTCTTCTTCTTTTGTCCCTCTAGATGGTGATGCCATAATGATAATCTTGGTAATCACACTTTGATGTTTGAGTTTCCATCAATACATGTGGAAATGGGGTTCATACAATTTGCTTTATTAGAGAATATTTGCTACCATAGACTGATAAAGAATGTAATTTAATTCAATTGAATTATTTTAAGGATATATTTTTTTTCTTCTGAGCTGTGAATTTGATTCATTGGACTATATGGTCAGTGTTGTGTAAGTTGACTAGAGTTGTTAACTTAATAATAAATATATTGCAACTGGAGATAAAAAATTTTTAGGGTTTGGTGTTTTTCTTTAAGTAACTATACTGTGGTATAGAATGATGTTAGTTATATTGCCAGGTTGTCTTTACTCTTTAGCGCACTGGTAAACTCAGTGTAGGTTAAAACTGCATTCTATAGTTAGGATTTGGCATTGAGATGCTCAGATTTCCTTAAATGGGGTTTAAGTTTGTATATAGTATTGGGGGATTCAGTTTGAAAAGTCACTCTAGCCTAAATATTTGATGCTGAATACTGTTATGTCATGTGGCCTCTAACTTGGCTGCACTGAATTTTGTTGGGATTTACTCTTGGAATTGGATTCCCTACAACAATTCCAGGGACACCATAAAAAAGAGACTAAGAGGGGAAGAGAGAAGTGGGTAGATCTTTTTGAATCTTCCTGTTTCTGTCTTTCTCCAATGTTATGTCGTGTAGTTAGGGTTGAAATGCAGAAGGTCTAATTTATTTACTCTTGTCCGTCCCATGTCCTCAGTTTCGTAAGCTTGTCATCCTCGTCAGTCATATTTGAGTTTACTCTTATCTTTTTGTTATTGCAATTGTAAATCTTTAGTCACTAAGTTGGTCTGATGTGTCTGTTTATCTTTTCTATATGATTTTTCCTATTATATCTCTTTAAAAGTATGACCAATGTTCTTCTATCTCTCTATCGAGTCCTTTTACTTTTCTCACAGGCTTGGGGGAATCATGTGGTTTGGTTTTGGGAACTATTAGATTTTTTAGCATTAATTAGTGCAGTTGTTTTCTCTTTTCCAGCTTCTTCTTCTTCTTACTTTTTTTAGGCCTTTGGTGAAAGTCTTTTGTTGTTGCTTATTGTTTAACAAAACAACCTGAAGTTTTAGATATGGATGAATGCTTAATTTATACCTTTTTTTCTTTTTTCTTTAGGGTTTGACACCATATGAAAAAAAGAAATATGTTTGGAAAATGCTATACATATATATGCTTGGATATGACGTGGATTTTGGTCATATGGAAGCTGTGTCTCTTATATCTGCTCCAAAATATCCAGAAAAGCAGGTGATACTTTCCTTTTATGAAGTCTTTCTATAGTGGACTGTTACTATATCTCTATTTCTAGTTTTCTGTGGTTTCATTTAAGTCCATTTGCATGTTTACCTAGCAGGGAAAATATATGGGCTAAAGGAGCCAAGTCTAATTTTGCTATAATTACTGCAGGTTGGTTACATTGTGACATCATGTTTACTCAATGAGAACCATGACTTTTTGAGACTAGCAATAAACACCGTGCGCAATGATATTATTGGTCGGAATGAAACTTTCCAGTGCCTAGCATTGACTATGGTATGGTGATGGAAAAAATGTCAATCTTTTTTTAATTCTTGTGGTCTTATTCATATTACATCATTTTGTTAGTGTTTCTCTGGGAATCTTATATAATGTACGTATGAGGAAACCTTGACAAAACTTTAACCCTTGGTGAAGAACTGTGCTTTATGTTTGTTACCAGCCTTTCTTGATGCATGTTGACAAATATGGTGTTACATGGCTGAACGTCAAATGCATGTGTAGGCAATGACACAAATGTCTGAATAATGTTGTTCTTTTTTGTTTTTCCATGCCAGAGCATTTTTTTTGGTCTCAAACTTTGCACTTGTTCACTTGCTTTCCAAACTTCCATCTGGCCACATGATTTATATGTTGTGATGTTTATTTCAATATTTTAAGCAAATCAGAGTTCTTGGATTCTTTTCTTTTCATTGATATCGTATTAAGGTATCTACCATCTACCATACATTTATAATGATTACCTTTTCCACCTTTGAGTCACTAACACCATGTTATGTCCTTTGTTAGGTTGGAAATATAGGTGGGAGAGAGTTCGCTGAGTCCTTAGCGCCTGATGTGCAGAAGTTGCTGGTAAGAAACTAAGCATTATGAGTAAGTAACTGGATTTGAAAATTATTGATGTTGACTGTATTCTCTTATCTAGGTATCTAGCAGCTGCAGACCACTTGTGAGAAAAAAAGCTGCTCTGTGTTTACTGCGATTGTATAGGAAAAATCCAGATGTTGTCAATGTAGATGGATGGTAAATTAGAACCCACTTTCTGGTGCTAGGTGTTTCTCCATTGGTACTTACCTTCAAATGTATCTTATTAGAACTCCTTTTGATGCATATATAAGGGCGGATCGGATGGCACAACTTATGGATGAACGAGATCTTGGAGTTTTGACATCTTCTATGAGTCTTCTTGTTGCATTAGTATCTAACAATCATGAAGCATATTGGAGTTGTCTTCCAAAGTGTGTCAAAGTTTTAGAGCGCCTTGCTAGGAACCAGGATGTTCCACAAGAATACACTTACTATGGTATCCCATCTCCCTGGCTTCAGGTTTGTAAACTTCAATCTTGTCCATTTTTTTTTCATTGTTATTTGTGAGAATAAAAGCTTAGTTCATCTGGAAAATTTTAGCCAAATTCTTCCTTACAAATCATGCTTATTGAATTTTGTATTGATTGGCGATTCAATCTAAGACTAACTGTGAAGTAAGCTCAAATGTCCTACATTTTCAAAAATTGGCATGGCATAATGGTGGGGGAAAAATCTTTTGATGTATGGGATTACTTAACACAATAAACTGAAACCAAATCTTGTTTGGTAATATATATTTACTGAAAATCACAAGCCTTCTTCTGCTAAATAATTAAAATATGAGGAAGTAGTTTATCAATTGAGAGTGATTAGCTTATGCCATTTGTTATTGTAATCTTGTGTAGCTAGTTCACCTGAATTCTTATTCATTTTCTTCATATAGGTAAAAACAATGAGAGCACTTCAGTATTTTCCTACCATTGAAGATCCAAATACAAGGAGATCTTTGTTTGAGGTATGTCATATCTCAATAATATATTCAATTTTTTTAATTTACGATGGCAGAGTCTTAAACCAATTGTTTCAGGTCTTACAAAGGATACTGATGGGCACTGATGTTGTGAAAAATGTGAACAAAAACAATGCATCCCATGCTGTTCTTTTTGAAGCACTAGCTCTGGTATGTTGGAAGTGTATTAATCTATTTTGGAAATGCCAAATACATATAATTCTTACTTGAAGATCGCATTATAATTGGCACCATGTATGAATCTTCATCCTTTCTTTTTGAATTTGTTGGCCAAACTAGCAAAAGCTCTAGCAGAATAGGCCCAGACTAGCTGCTGCGCTGCCTAACTTTCTTGCTTCTAAGGCTGTTTCCTGTCCAAATAATGATTTATATTTACAAGTTCTTTCAGTTTGTTTAAGTTCATGCATGACTGCAAGGCTACTATGCGCATGCACCATTTATGCAAAATGGCACTGATGACTGTGTCAAAGAGTCAATCAAAAGGATTATTGCCAACAAATTTAGCATGCTTTCGTTTGTATGCATGTACATGTAGGGTAGGTGTACGGTGCACTTAATGGGCACTACATCCCTACTTTTACTACTGTTGTTAACATGACAGGTTATTGTTTATTACAATGATGCCTCAGGTGATGCATCTTGATGCTGAAAAAGAGATGATGTCTCAATGTGTGGCTCTTCTTGGAAAATTTATTGCTGTCCGGGAGCCAAACATTAGATATCTTGGCTTGGTAAGTTGTGGAGACACTATTGCGTTATACTTGTTTCTCTTCTTTTCTTGAGATATTTCCTTTACTTATTAGAAGGAGGTGGATATATGGTCATAATTTAGAAAACCAAAATTACTGTCAGAATGCATTATCAGAATTCATAAACACATAATATTCTGGTGCAGGAGAATATGACAAGAATGTTGATGGTTACAGATGTACAAGATATCATAAAAAGGCATCAAGCTCAGATTATCACCTCATTGAAAGATCCTGATATCAGGTTAATTGTCTTCTCTCATTTTTGCTGACTACATTAGTCCTTTACATATGCCAGTAATAAATTTGCATGACAATTCCAGTTCTCATTGATTCTATTGGCAATTTGGTTCATACATATGTAAATTGTAGTAATAACAGATGAAATTTTGAAGGCATTTGGTTACTTTTGCTTGGACTATTTAATTCACTTGTTCACACAGAAGGCTTTATGATCCTTTCAATTACTGTAGCTATTTGTCACTGTTTGCAGATTAAATTCCTTTTTTTCCTTTTTTTCTAAATATCATTTTTAACTCTAGTATTTCTAACTGGCATTCATTTATGCTCAGTATTCGGAGGCGTGCTCTTGATTTACTTTATGGCATGTGTGATGTTTCAAATGCAAAGGATATAGTTGAAGAACTATTGCAGGTATGAATCTATATCCAATGAGGTTCATGATATTTTGGAAATCTTGCAATCCCTCCACCCATCAGAGAGAAGAGATGATGAACCAGTTGATTGCATCTAAATCGCAAAGTGATTGATTTTAAATTTTCAACTATGTTGTAGTATCTCAGCACAGCTGAATTTGCAATGCGAGAGGAATTATCACTTAAAGCTGCCATTCTTGCTGAGAAGTTTGCTCCCGATCTTTCATGGTGATGAAATATTTCCTGTGGGACTTTATGTTTTGTTTTAATGTGTTGTTTCGTCTTTCTTTGTTTGCTTTTTTGCCATTTTGTTTTGTTTCCGAGGATTCTCTATCTTCAATCGTAGCACCATTTCCTCTCCTTCAAACAAAATTTCCTGTGAAAAACAATTATTTTGGAATAACGTTTAAAAACTTCTGGCAGCCAACCAAATGTAAAATTCAGGATTTTTTTCAAAATTACAGAAGAAACATAGGCCAATCTATGGATTATTGGAACTAATTTATGTCCTTTTTGAACGCCTGAAGTTGAAGTTGTTGGTGTCTGAACATTTTCTAAAACTACCCGAGGGAAATTTTATCTATGCAAACATTTTTGCATGGACTGCTGTTGATCTATTAGTAAAACCCTGCTAAAGTGGACTTATTTGGAGTCATGGATATTGATGTCATTCCGTCTCTTTTGTAAAGGTATGTTGATGTCATTCTTCAATTAATTGACAAAGCTGGAGATTTTGTTAGTGATGACATCTGGTTTCGTGTGGTGCAATTTGTCACAAATAATGAAGACCTACAGGTGATCTTGCAGTTTGTTGCTATTATATTTCTGCTTCGTAGTTGACATATCATTCACTGGGAGTTTTATGTGTTTGATTAGCCTTATGCTGCAGCAAAAGCTCGAGAGTATCTTGACAAACCAGCCATACATGAGACAATGGTTAAGGTTTGTTGACTCCCATTCCATAACTATCTGCCGATATCAGATTTATTTGCAAACACTCATTAATATGATTTATAAGCTGCAGCCTCAGCTTTTGTAGTCTGATGCTATATTGTTTCAGTGAAAAAACCTCAGAGCACTGCTAGAAGAGTCTCATGTGGTCTTAGGCAAAGAAAGCTTCACTATAATTTAAGTTTTGGTCTGAGTCAGTTAGTCGGTCTTGCAGTCATCAAAATCTCATTTAAGCACTATTGTTATGACATCTTATTGGGAATGTGGCATGTCTATCCAGATCTTTTTGAATAACTTCCTTTATAATTAATTTAAAATTTTTCTGGGACTGAGACTACCTAAAGCAGAGGTTTAGTCAGGCGAGTGGAGAATTAAAAGGATAGATTTTTGTCATAGGGAAAATTGAGGTTAGACTTCTGTAATAAGTTATATGTGGTGAGTATTTTTTTTCCTCTGTAAATTTACGTGTCTAATCTCATTTCAATTTGATTCATTGTTATTTTTTATCAAATCTGGTTTAATTTAGTCACATGTCTGACATGGAAAGAGGCTGTATTTTTGTAAAATAGTTATTAATTTTTTTTCATTTTCATACACTGAAACAGGTCAGCGCGTATATCCTTGGAGAATTTGGACACCTTCTGGCAAGAAGACCTGGATGTAGTCCGAAGGAATTGTTTAGCATAATACATGAGAAGCTTCCTTCTATATCGTTAGTAGATTTAATGAACACCTTACAATTAATCTATAGCTGTGTTCCATTGAGCTTTTATCTCTTAAAGAGTCATGCTTTATTTTCAGGACTTCATCTATTCCCATTCTTCTTTCAACATATGCTAAAATTCTTATGCATGCTCAACCACCAGACCCTGAGTTACAGAATCAGATATGGGCAATATTTAACAAGTGAGGCTTGTATTTGCAATTAATTTATAATGGATCGATCTACAATGTCATGATGTCATTGATTCTTCTAAATCATCTGCTAATGTTTTTAGATATGGGAGTTGCATTGATGTTGAAATACAGCAACGAGCTGTTGAATATCTTACATTGAGTGGTAAAGGTGCAGCTCTGATGGACATATTAGCTGAAATGCCTAAATTCCCTGAACGACAGGTATTTTGGAAATTTTAATAAGACGTAGTTTGCTTTTGATGATGCTTGATCAACCACCAGTGGTGACACTCATGGAATATTACTCTTCAAATTCAGTCTGCATTGATAAAAAAAGCTGAAGATACTGAACTTGATACGGCGGAACAAAGTGCCATAAAACTGCGAGCCCAGCAGCAAGCTCAAACATCAAATGCTTTGGTTGTGACAGACCAACAACCTGCAAATGGAACTCCGCCTGTAAACCAACTTGGTCTTGTAAAGATGCCCAGTATGAGCAGTACTGTGGTTTGTACCTCCCTCCGCCTTCCTCTTTTGCATGAATTCTTACTGTGTCATTTTTTTTTATTAACATTAGAATGATTAAATGCCTCATCTTTTGAACTTGGAAAATGTTTATGCCTATTGGTTTTTGGGTTGATGCTTACTCATCTTTTTTAAACAGGACCATGAGTCAGCAGATCAGAGATTATCCTTGGAAAATGGGACATCAAATAAAGTAGATTCACAACCTCCTCAAGCAGATCTGCTTAGTGATCTCTTGGGTCCATTAGCTATTGAAGGTCCTCCTGGTAGCAGTGTCCCGTCTCAGCCAAACACAAATTCAGGATTGGAAGGTACTGCAGTTGAAGCCACGGCCATAGTACCTGCAGGAGAGCAGGCAAACTCTGTGCAGGTACTTTATTTTCTTCTAGTACCAAAACATGTTTTGAAGTTTTTCTGTTTCATGCAATGCATCAACGTAATGTTATTATAGAAGTTCTTGTTCCGAAGATTACTTCCATTCAAATCACATATCTTCATACCAATTCTTTTTAAAACAAATAATGAGGTATCAGGATAAACTGAGTTAAGCTTTATACCAAAAGTTTTTCTGTTTGAATGAATACAATTTTATTATAGACTGTAGCCCATCTCTTTTTCGCTGGACTCCATTCTCCATGACGATCAGAAAGATATTCTTACAATGCATGGAAAGATAACAAATTGCAACCTTCATTTGTGCAGCCAATTGGAAATATTTCAGAAAGATTTCATGCTTTGTGCTTGAAGGATAGTGGCGTTCTTTATGAGGATCCTTACATTCAGGTTTCTTTTTTCCCCTTCCTTGTTTTGTAGTGATTTTTATTTTAACTTTAAGCTTATACAATTATGCACTCAGTTTATTTACTAATCTCTGGTATTCAGAGATCGGTGCTAGCTTAATATTTCGGCTGATTTCCTGTAGAGTTCTTAACCTTTTTTATATGCATTTGCGCAGATTGGCATTAAAGCAGAATGGAGAGCACATCATGGGCGTCTTGTTCTTTTCTTAGGGAACAAGAATACTTCTCCTCTTGTCTCTGTTCAAGCTATAATATTGCCTCCATCTCATTTGAAGATGGAGCTCTCACTAGTGCCAGAAACTATACCTCCCCGAGCACAGGTGAACTATTGTTACCAAGTCTTTTGTTTTCTCATTTCATTAGTCTTGTTTACAAATTCCCCCCCTCTTTTAATGTCATAGGTGCAATGCCCGCTGGAAGTCATTAATCTTCACCCGAGCAGGGATGTGGCTGTTCTTGACTTCTCCTACAAGTTTGGTAACGATATGGTACTTAAGCATTGACATGTTTTAAGTTCCTCATGTGATAAACTATTTATATTTCCCTCTTTAATGGGCTCAACTGACATGGTTCATGTGCTGTCAAGGCAAGTGATGGGGGAAAAAGAATTAGACTATTTCACTGTTTATGTTACTTGTGTAAACAATTTATCTTGTATGTCTCTCATTCAGTTCAGCATGGATCAATTTTTCATAAAAATATTACCTGAATTGGATAACTGGATGTCATCCTACTGAGTTGTTGAGAGTTGATGGTGTGGCTATCTTTACTGCTCTTAAATTATGAACTTTTGGTTAATTTGTGACATTTTGTCTGTGAGCTTCTTGTAGGTCAATGTCAAACTTCGCCTTCCTGCTGTCCTAAATAAGTTTCTTCAGCCTCTCTCTGTATCTGCTGAAGAGTTTTTCCCTCAATGGAGATCACTTTCTGGGCCACCCTTGAAGCTTCAAGAAGTGGTATGTGTTGCGTTATCTATGCCTACATTAGAAGTTTTGGTATTGCCAATTTGGCTAATGGTCATTTTGACGGGTTAATTCAATAATGGCAGATATCTATCATTGACTGACTGACATTTTACTCTGGTCGTGCACAATCATAGGCTTGTTTTGTTGATTTTGCAGGTTAGAGGTGTTAAACCACTTCCTCTTCTTGAAATGGCGAATCTATTCAATAGTTACCGCTTGACAATTTGCCCAGGGCTTGTATGATGTTCATTGCTTCTCTCTTCTTTCTGTTTATTTTCACAGTTGATCCTTTAATGATATATAGTTAGTAATATTTTTTTCGGGTTATCTCTCTGCTTTAGGACCCTAATCCAAACAACCTTGTCGCAAGTACTACATTCTATTCAGAAAGTACACGGGCAATGCTCTGTTTAGTAAGTATACATGTCAAAACACGTATCATGCATCACAGTATGATGAAGATTATAATCATAGGGTCTTGAATATCATTATGGTGGGAACTTGAAAACGTTTTTCACTTGTGAAAAATCATAAATGATCATTTTCTCTAGCTCGGTCGTTTTGAAATTCATGGAGTGCCTCTTTGGGCATACAGAAATATAGAGAAATACTTTGCTCCTGTTGAAGCTTTGGGAAGTTTGGAATAGCTGCTGTTTTATAATGTTGTCAACTGTGAACTACCCGGGCCAGTCATTTACAAGTTATAATTAAGTTTAACTTATGACGCTGCAGCTCTAAATTATAGAAATTGTGCATAGTTTATGAAGTAACTCGGGGAACATAGTTGTTTTAACTTTTTTTATTTTAAATAAACGATACTCAGATACGAATTGAAACGGATCCAGCAGACAGAACCCAGCTACGGATGACGGTTGCTTCAGGGGATCCTACCCTAACGTTTGAGTATGTGATTGAAAATAAGGTTTTGGAGGGATATCAATTTTTTCCATGGGCCTTACAGATAGTTCTTCTATATTTGGTTTGCAGGTTGAAGGAGTTCACCAAGGAACTGTTAGTCAGTTTGCCCCCGGCAACCCGTGTACCAGCACAAGCATCTCCAATGCTTCCTGTGGCTCAACCCGCTGGTGCACCAGCATCAAACGACCCTGGAGCGATGCTGGCTGCTCTCCTATGACAATATGAAGCTGATAGATTCATGAGTATGGTCTTTACACTTGTAAACTTGATTTACAAACCAGCACCGCCCCTTTTTCCTTCAAGATAAATGAGTTGACAAAAAAACCATAACGTGAGGGCTGGTGGAGTTGAGAGCGAGCTAGTTTGTTACTGGCTGAGTGTTTGGATGGGGATTCATGGGTTGGTCGGCCTTTTTTGGAGATTCTTTATGCACAAAGCTTTAGCGATGATGTGTCATTTGGGTGAGGGTTTCGAGTTCTATTTTTTTGTCCCTTCCCAGTTTTATTGGCGTGTTTACGGTGCTCGTTAGCATGTAAGATATATATTGCCTTGGACAAAACCAGTTGTAACATTTTGGATTTGTCATTTTAAAATTATTGTTGCAATAATATCATGGGGAGAGTACATATTCTTGGGCTTTAATGCTCTGGGTTTTCAGTGGTGAGAAGTCGATTTTATGCTTGATTGGCATCCTCTGATTCCATTTATAAGTCATAATTTAGAATGCTTATTTAGTTTTATTTATAAATCATGGCACGATTTTTTAAGTAATATTTAAAATGTATTTTTAAAATTACTTTTTATGAAAAAGAAAAAGTAATATGATATCATTTTTTGGATTTGTTTTATAAGAACATATTTAAAATTTTATACATTTTTATTCCTTGAATTTTTTTTTACATTGATATTAATGAGGTTAATAGAAATAATTTATAAAAAGAACTGTAGGAGTAGAATAGATTTGATTACTTCGTTGCCCATGAACATTTGAAAGAGAGAGATAAAGAGTGATGTGCAGGATGGTAAAATTGCAGTTTGCTCAGAGGGACTGGATCATACGTTTAAACTCGGCTCGATTGAACCTCCGGACGATAGTAACTATGGGGCCCAGTCCTTGTACTCACGTCACAATTTCACTTGTCCCGCTCTTGCTAAGCCAGTTTATTGACTACGATGTGTCCTTTTTTCCCTACAAAAAATTAAGATGTACAATATTTATATATTTTATTATAAAAAATATTTTATAGTTTTGTAGTTATTATTGAATAGAAGTTATTATTTTTCTTTTATTTTTGTTTCATGGTAAGACATGATCATTTCTTCTTTATAAAGGTAACATTGTTCAGATGATAAACAAACAATTGAGTAGTATACTATTTGGGGTTAATTCAGGTGACAGAGGTGGGGTGAATTGTGGATGAAAGTCAAGATTTCAAACTCTCATGATGTAACCCAAAAAAAAAAAAATAATGGATGAATTTTTTCTCAAATTTCATGTAGCCCAAAAGATAATTTTTTGAGAATTTGATAATCAAATAAACAAAAAAATTATTTAAATGCTTTGATTACTTTATATTTATTTTTTGCTTTATAAAAATGTATCATTTAGACTTATGAATACAGTATTTTTATTTTTACCAGAACAGGAGGATACAAACTTGTTATAAGGATGTAACATGGAAAAAATGTACTCTTTTGATTCTATTTATAAGAGTAATAAAATATTTATTTTGATTTTATTTATAGGGTACTTTAACAATTATAATGTTCATTTTTACCTTTTTATTCTTATTGAATGTTAGACAAATTTATTTTTAAAGCATATATATTTAACCTGAGTAAACTTGAAAAGTTGTTAAATTTTAGATAAATTTAATAAGATTTAAGATTTTTCTTAATTTTAATAAAAATATTAAAACTAATTTATAATTAAAACTTGAGGGAGTATTAAACATGAAAGTTGGAAATATTTTACAGGATAAACGTTACTTGTGGATGGATCTCGATTGCCAAGGGCGCTTAGGTTCGTCAACGGTCAAAAAGAACTGCCTATTTATTAAACAAAAAAAAATTACATCTAAGTTTTATATAAAAAAATTTATTATCAAAAAATTTCATAAAATTCATAAAATATTTTTAAATTTTAAATTTTACATATCTACAATATAATTAAAGGTATTGACAATTAGATAATGATCATTTACAATTTATATATTCAATTATTAATGTTCTTAGTCACATTATAGATGCATAGAATTTAAAACTTAAAAATATTTTATAAATCTGATAAAAACTCTTAATAATAAATTTTTTATATAAGATTTAGATGTAATTTTTCTAAAAAACCCCTGATCACCAAAAAAAATCTGGCGCACCCGCATTTCCCTTAAATTTGTTTCTCGATTTAAATAATTCTCTATATATTCTGTGCTCCGGGATCTGCGGATAATATTTCATCCATAATGTGAAAATAATTTTACCACATTTAAAAAACCGATATACCAGGTTTAACTAGCTATATTTATTACTAGAAAACATATCTGAATAATAAATTCATAATAAGAAATTCATCAAACCTATTTATATATAATCTTCCTAATGAATATCGATCGTTCGTTATAAGATTAAAATTAAATTATCCATACAATATTTTTAAAATAGAATAAATCATAATTAAAAACAAAAAAGTATTAAATAATAAAATATGATAGACATAAATATACTTAATATTAAAATGTTAAATTATACCTTCTCTAAATTTTGAATCATATATAAATAATCTCCTTAACCTTTCAAACTTAATAATAAATCTTATTGAGCATTCACATTTATGCAAATAACCCCTAACCATTAATTATATACCTCCTTAAAATTTATTTTTGTGTGCATTTAAGCCTTCAGATTTTGATTAATATACAGATAACCCTCATAAATTTTAAGTCATGTATAAATAATTAATCTATAACATTAATCATATAGAATTATTTGTATAAATATAAAAGTTGAGGGGGGTTTGTTGTAAAATTTTAATGATTAAGGAGGTTATGCATATATGGTTTAAAGTTCAAAAAAGTAATATATAATTTGGCCAAATTAAAAATCTAACTCTCATTCTCAAATCAAATTAGCGGTTTAATATTTTTTTGGGAGATACCTAAATTAGTAGCATTTCTTTCTTCACGGAAATGGATTCAATACACACAATATAATTGAAATTAAAAATGTAACCAAAATATTCTAAGAATGTTGATTTATTTAATCTAATGTAAAATAATAAATTAAAATTTTAAATTTTTTAATATTTTTATTTTTTTTGTGAAAATTTATAGGTGTGATATAATATATTTATGAACCATATATATATAAGCAATCAAATACATTATTTCTTACATTATCTAACTAATATATATACACACATCAATTATAATTTTAATTGAAATGAATGTAATTATACTACATTTTGTTTGTAAAAGGCAATTGATATAAAATCAAAATAAAAATAACCGAATCATTTAAATAGGCCCCAGAAAAAATTAATGTAATTTATTCTTTTTATCGGACCAAATAATTTATTCTATTTCAAGACAATATTAATAATAATAATAATAATATTATTATTATTATTATTATTAATTCTGCTGGTCTTAAACAGGAGGTTGACTTCTAAGTTATGCATATAAATATGGGCAAGAATACTTGATAGATTTTTATTCAATCAAATTAAAATATATAAATTTTAATATATTAATAATATAAATAATAAAAAATTTATTATAGATTAAATAATTTATAAAAGATATACATCATAATTTGATCAAAAGCAAGTATCTTATGTATAAAAGTGTAAGTATATAAGTTTTTTTCAATAAATATTAGCACAAAAACAAATGACAATGAGGCTAATTTCCATGAAAATAAAAGGATCAATGAGTAAATAAGATTTTAAACTCTTACTCGAAAATTGTCTTGAACCTTAAACTCTTAAAATGTACGAATAAACTCTAAATTTTTAAATTCATAGTAAAATAAACTTTGATCATAAACTTTTTAACACCTTTACTATCTACGTAAGTACTATTTAGGATTTATTTTCTTACAAGTTTAACCTTAATTGTTACAATATTTGCGTGGACAGTAACGGTGTTAAAAAAATTAACGGTCATAATTTATTTTACTATAATTTTAAAAGTTTAGGTTTATTTTACATATTTTAAGAGTTTAAGATTCAGAGCAATTTTTAAGTAATAGTTTAGGATGCTATTTGCTTATTAACACAAAATAAAAATTGCATTAAAAGTTATTTTTAATACTATTCTGTGGTTAAAAAATAAAATAAAACTACTCTTGTCTGTTTAACATGAACGCTTCTCGCACTTTTTTCTTAAAAAAAAAAATTAGGAGTTTGATCATAAAGACAACAGATATTATAGATAAAAAAAGCACTATCTTTCGTTTTAAATATGAACCTTTCATGTATTTTTTAAATATTTTGTTTTTGAGTCTAGACACGTGTTTTGATTTAACAGTTTTGATGAGTTTGTGATATCCAATCTATTTAAATTCTTGCTTATAAAACAAATGAAAACACTTATAAATATATTTATAAATTATTTACTAATAAATTAATCCGCAACCAAATTTAAATTTACAATCTTATAAACTTACAAATCAACTTCTTATGAGTGCACTTTCGCATGCCAACTTCTTATCACTGTTTTTCGCAGGGGTGCAAATTTACTACTTGATGAACGATGCACGATGAAAAAAAAATTAGGTAGTTTATTATGAATAATGTTAGAGATAAAAAGAATTATTATTTCCCAAATTCGATGCCAAAATACTGGTTACTTATTACCTCTTAAGGTAGAGAGAAATTTTTTTTTCTATTTATACGATATATCAATAAACTTTTATTATAAATTTTTCTTTTCATTCTATTAGATGTTCGAGAAAGAAAAAATGCTTTGTTAAAATATATATACTTAAGAAGGATAAAATTAAGAATTTATTAAATTTTTAGATATAGTTAATAAGTTTTAAAATTTTTCTTAATTTTTATAAAATATGTTGAAAATAATTTATAAATAAAACAAGAAGAGTATCATTCTCATTGTATCCACTGAATCTTGACCAGAAAACAAAAAAAGATAAGCTGAAATGCTCATTCTAGTCTTATTTATAAATTACTTTGTGAATATTTTATCAAAATTTTAAAAAATCTTAAACATTGTTAACCTTATTTTAAAATTTAATAAATTTTCTACCTCTACCCTTAATAATGACAAGATAATTATTTTTATAATTTCTCCTCACATTTGATAAAGGAAAAAAAGATAAAGATGAATATAAAAAATAATAAAGTGTATAAGTAAGATCAAAATTAATTTTCTTTTATTGTTCTATAAATAGGATCAGGAATGTATTATAAAACTTTAATTTTTAATTGTAACAATAAAATTTACACAGATTTGACTTTGTTGAGTGGTTTAAATCCATTCACTTACTCATTCAATAAATGTCTTAATTATTACAATTAAATTTTTTAATACTTAAAAATTATCAAAATATATTTCTCTTCAAAAATTTAAAATAATCCTTGCAATTAGAATATTTCTCACATTTATTGTCTCTTTTAAAAATTTAAAATTCAGTGCTTTCTAAACATTATAGGACAATTTTTGATAACAATTGTTATCATGCATAGTGAAGACGCTCATTAAATAAATAAATTTATATAACTTATTATATCCAAGTTCAATTTTCACTAGCAAAATAATTTTTCTAAATTTAAGAGTTTCTTCTTTTCACTAAAATACTAGTATAGAGTATCAGATTAGATCCATTAATAAAATATAAAGTAAAAAACCGGCAACCATTTATTTTGTCCTTTTTTATCATTATTTTGCAATAAATAGGGGTATTATTGGCATACAAATACCGTGATAAATGATAATAAATAATTATATACATATCAGTTTTCTTCACCATTAGTGCACCGATGCATTAAAAATCCCAAATGCTTACGAGCAAAGGGCAGTTTCAGCTAAAAAGAGACTAGAAGACAAATTTTCCATTTCTTCTGGCGCCTTTTGCACAGTACTGCATCTTTGAACTCCTCCATCGTCACTTTTTTCCTCAAGTCTCTTTCTCATATATCAATAGCTGAGACCTTTCATTGAAAATCTTCGAGTGGTGTATTTCATGGAGGGCCGAACGATGACGGTCAGCAACTCTCCGACCGCAACACCAGGGAGCCCGCAGGCGAAGTGCGTCGACGACGTGACGAATGTAGTGAGAGCAGTCGGAGTAGAAGCAGCCTTGAACTCTACCCCTGCTGCCGGAGGAGGAATGAACGGGGCTGTGGGTTCGGAAATAATGGTAAAGAAGAGAAGAGGGAGGCCTCGCAAGTACGGCACAAATGGGAACCTGTTTTCTCCGGCGTCGGCGCCGTCACGATCTTCCAATTACTCGTTTGGGAGCTCTATGAAACGAAGTAGAGGAAGGCCTCGTGGTTCAGGGAGATTACAACTTTTGGCGTCCATTGGTGAGTTTCTTCAAAACAAATATTCAATAACAAGAAGCAGTCGTTTTACAGTCTTATTTTAAGTATCATTTAATATTCGGGTAAAATACTTCAAATACAGTAATACATTTTATGTTCCGGTGCCTCTTAAATAGAAAAGTAATCAACGCAAATGCTAGCTTCCTCGATGATTTCATGACTAGATAAAAGGCCAATTGCAGCGCCTTAAAACTAATAAAGGCAAGGCTTTTTTTTTTTTTTTTGAGTTTCTCATGTCTGAAACATGTTTTGGTGAAGGTGGAGTTGTTGCAGACACTGCTGGTGGAGGCTTCACTCCTCATGTCGTTACTGTGAATACTGGCGAGGTATAATGAAACTCACATCTGACATATGGGGCATAGAATAACCTCCTAATCAAGGACCAATTTTTGTTTTGGTAATTTATTTGCAGGATGTGGTGAGCACAATATTATCATTTTCTCAGAAAGGCCCTCGAGCTGTTTGCGTCCTTTCTGCTACCGGTGTAGTTTCCAGTGTCTTCATTCGCCAATCTGGTGCTGTTAGGCGATTTGAGGTCCCATCTCATCTCATACACACTTTTAAGTTAGTTAATTAACCATACAGAATAAAAGGGTCCTAATTCATTGCTTGATTTTTCTCTTCATGTAATTTTACTTGTCATCTGCAATGTCATTTGTTTTCATTGTAGCTCTTGGTTGTATCCTTCGTTGTGGTGCATGCAGGGCCTCTTCGAGATTATATCGTTGACTGGATCATATACCGTGGCTGCTCGACGCAGAAGTGGCATGTTCTGCGTTTCTCTGGCTAAACCTGATGGCAGGATCTTTGGAGGTGGGGTTGAGGGCTCATTGATAGCTGCTGGACCTATTCAAGTAAGAACATTTTTTGAAGTATCCATCTAAGATTAAAAAGGGGATAGACTCGATCTTTATATTTGTTATCTAGAGCACTCCTGAGCATCTTTGTCTATATTATTAATTCAAGTGTTCATAAAGCTCCTTCTAGTTCTCTTGACTGATTTTCCAGGTATGTCTTCTGGGCTGGTAGTAACGTTAATCTTGTAGCTAATGTTAAGACCCGAAAGTCCGCGGTGTATCAGATAAATTAATTAGTGTAGGACAAATGCATAACGCACAAGATATAAATAGATGGTTGAAGAATATCGTAGTTTACAAATTTTAAAACAATGGGTAAACTCTTATCTGCTCACTTCAAGACAGGAATTGATTGTATATGGTATATACTTGGTATATACTACTCGTGTCAAGCCAGTGCAATCCAAGTAATCCTTTTAGGTTTTTACCGATTTTCAATAAAATTGAAAAACGTGTGCTAAAGTATTAAAAAAATAAGATGACTTGTTTCTCTCCCACAAAGAGGGATAACAAACACCTGGAAATTTGTGTTTAATAATTTAGTATATGCATGAGTCAGACTAACTCTCAATTTGTCTGTGTCAATCAGATAATATTAGGAAGTTTCAAGCCAAATATCAGTAAGGAGATTCAAAGGAGACATTCAGCTGTGTCTCCTGCTCTTCTCGACATGCCAGGTCATCCTGAAATGGTAGAAAGTGAACAGAAGGAACCGGTGCGGACAGCTAATGGATTATTCGACAACGTCAATCCGGCAACAAGCAACGGGATAGCAAACGATGTGGTTCCTGCAAGTCAGAATATGCCCTCTGCCTCTTCAAATGGTACTCACATGGACTCTCAGCTCATCGCTGGCCATGAAGAGTCCACCGATATGGGGATCAGCGACCCCCAGTTATGAAGAGATCAGGTATAAAATAGCCTCCTTTCAAGCTCGGGAGCTATGGAGTTTTATTTTATATGTTAATGTTTTCAATGCTAGTAGCGATCGAACGAACCGATGATTGGTTTCATTGCATCATTACTTTCAGGCGGTGGGGAACCAAAAAAGTTCCCATCCTACCTCTCTGACTCATTTTCTTGTTACTTTTTCTCGCTGGTATGGTTGATCCCTAAGGCAATACTGTCCGTAATTTGATGTAGGGAAAGCCGGTGGCAATGGATGGAACTTTTGGAACATGGAAATGGGATATTGGTTCGCGTGTTTTATTTATTTTAATTTAATTTGTGCTTGGCTGTCTAGATATATATAATTCGTGTAAGCATATTACAGCTTTACTTGAGACATGACATTGCAAATATAATCGATGCTTAGACCTTTTTACATACAAGCTACTCAGGTGTTTCACTCGTTGTGACTTAGCCGGATATGATCATGCATCAGAAAGTAATGGCTAAGTTGGCATCGAGAACGATTGGTCTTACAGCTGCAATTTGGGATATTGCCCCAACTACTGAAATGACGAGGGCTATAGTTAGACTCAGTGTGGACCAGGAAGTGAGGCTTGTCTTTGGAGGTTTAAAAGTGAAATTATAGAATTGGCAATGGCATGTTGCAAGTGCAGCTGCACTAACATTTCAACATGTTAGCTTGAACAGGCGGTGCTAATGCCGCGTTTTATGTAAAATGTTACCTGATTACCAATTGCAAGCAATAAAGGAAGCATATACGGTAACTACCTTGCGCATACGACAATTACTGCGCTACAAACCTGGAACTACTCCGTTTCTGTGCGCGCGCGGCGGCAATGAGTAAAAAAGCGATCAACGCTCCCAGTATACCAATGTAGTTGCAACCAAAAGCAGCACGGGCACTATAGGCTAGGCGAAGCACCATCCATGGAAGACTAACGTGCCTAAGTGAGTCAAAAGATGGGATTTGGGCCAAAAATCAGCATGAAGTATACAAATTTTTTCCCAACAAGTAAATCGCCTTTGCCAAGTACAAAACCTCACTGATATTTTATGAATCCAATCAATGGTTAAACCATCAATAACTACATGTAAATGGACGTTTACATTCTATGCTCATCGCTGCACCCACCTTGGCCTTGATTTTATTTTTAGTTGATTTCTACCATTCATTTTAATTTTAATTTTATTTTTATTTTTAATATTGTATTATTAAAATAAAAATTTATAAAAATATATTAAAGTTTTCATAATACATTATTAAAAATACAAAAAAATATTAAACTTATTTTTATAAATTTTTATTTTAATAATACAATATTAAAAGTAAGAAAAAAAAATTTAAAAGGAACAACAAAAATATTTGAAGATGAAATCAATAGCTCAGATGAGCCCAAAGCTTGATGAGCACCCCTTGCTCATCATTGAGATGAGCACAAAATGTGGATGCAAAAAAATAAAGAAATGTTTTTTTGAATTTATAAATATATCTTTATTGGGTAATCTTCTTACAAGCAAATAAAAGACAACACAACTATAATAGACCAAAAAATGAAGAGAAAATGATAATAAAATACTCACGAAACACACAAATAACAAATAAGTATTGAAATGTGATAATTATTTTTTCTTGAGACTTAATTGACATTTTATTTTTTGTGAAAAGACATATTTACCTCCATTACCTCAATTTCATTCTCACCGTGGCTTTCTCTCTCTTGTCCAAACGTGGAAGCCATCATGAACCAAGTAGTCATCAATGACGATAAGTTGGCTCAGACTTTCACCACCATGATACGATTACACAAAGAAATTGGGCAACTCAAATTGTATTAACGAAGCCCAATAATTACAATGCAAAAGGGAAATAATAATAGAGTTGTCAAAAGCAGAAGAGTACATGACAGCCAGAGAGAAAATCTTCATAATACACAACAACCTCCCTCTCTCATTCTCTCGTTCCCTATATAGCCTCTAGCTCATGGAGTTTTCATGTGGGTCTCCTTTTGCGGGTGCTTCTACGCGACAACCTTCCATTTGCCCGCATCTCACGTGACAGCTCTTCTTCTGCATGTGCATCACGTTCCTGGCCTATTTCCATAGTCGAGACCGTAACTCATAGGTTGGATTTACAATTCACATTCTGATAGCCCACCGTAACAATATGTCCCCCATAAGCATTAACCTTGCTCTCAAGGTCAAAATTTGGGTACCAAGCTTGGAGTTGCCCTATTGCCTCCCACGTAGGTGTGGAGGAGTAGTCCCATTGAACTAAAACTTTGAAAATCACCCAAGTACTCTGATCAGCGAAACGAACATCTACGACGTCCACAGGATGCGTAACCGGTCATTCAAGCACTGACATCAGAGGGAGCGACAACATTGGCTCCGATGAGTCACTGTGACACTTCTTTAAAAGCGACACATGAAAAACAGGGTGATTGGTGAAGGTGAGCTTCTGGGGGAAGTTGTAGACGATACGTGACGAGACCCAATCTCTCAGCAACTAGAAAAGGACTAAAGTATCTCATGGAAAGCTTCTCAAAATTTATGGAGGTGTACCGAGTGTTGGCGATAGGGCTGAAGTTTAACGTACACTAAATCACCAACAACAAATTTAGCTTCTGTACGGTGTCGGTCAGCAAAGTGTTTCATACGGTCCTATACGTGGGTGAGGGCAGCTCATAGATTAGAGGGAACAATATCCCTTTTCCAACAACTGGGCATGCACATCAAAATGTATGTCGTCCAAAGATGAATGGTGTAGAAGAGGCGGAGGGCCCCGACCATACATAACTTTGAATGGGGTCATGCCGAGGGCACTATGGAAGGTAGTATTTTACTAGTATTCTGCCCATGGAAGGAAGTCCAGCCAATGCCGGGGATGATCAGAAACACAGCATCGCAAGTGCATCTCTAATGTACGATCCACAACCCCGATTTGCCCATCGCTTTGAGGATGATAGGAAGAGCTCATCCTTAATTGAATGCCCTACATATGAGCCAAATGACGCCAGAAAGTACTTGTAAAAGTGTAATCACAATTAGAGACTATCATACAAAGGAAGCCATGGAGTTTGATGTCATGTTAGAGGAAGGCTTCTACAACAGTATGGCTAGTGTACTGCCAACGTAATGGAACAAAGTGGTTGTATTTTGACAGCCTGTCAACAACCACAAAAATGACTGAGAAACCCCAAATGAGAGGTGAACCAGTAATAAAGTCCATTGCAATGTCTTCCCAGATGTAGATCGGAATCGGCAAGGGTTGGAGCAAGCCCGTAGGGTGGAGCTGAGAGACCTTAACTTGTTGGCAAGTGTGACACATCTTAACATAGTCCTTCACATCCCTACACATGCGGTGCTAATAAAATAGTGCAGCGACATGATGAAATGTGTGAAGGAATACTGCGTGACCATCGAGTATTGAGTCATGAAACTCCCTTAAATATCGGTGAAGTAAGTCTATGTTTTATCATTTCCTACCATGATAGTGTTTCAAATTATATGGTTATTTTATATATATATATATATATAGGATTAGTTAACTTCTGTTCATCATAGTAGATACTTTTTTATAATGGTTGAGTTAATTGTTTTGAAAAAAATTACTAATAACACTAAATAGACTAGAAAGGACTTATGCAACACATTACAAAATTTTAGCAATACAAATATCATATTTTCAACTCTCAACTCCTTTGATCACAAGAAATAGAAGGCGAAGAGAAATTCTCATAAAATCAACTCTTAAACCATCATATTCATGCTTACACATTTCTTTATTTACATTAATATTTTGACTATATTTGATCTTTGTAAATATGTCATTGACAACTTAGGGCTCGAAATACAAATTTAAAACAAATCAATTGGTGGTGCAAGTAAGTCAAAATATGATAACCTAGTTAGCAACTTATCAAACCAAAATACACATAATTTAATTTATGAGAGGTCTATAATTAGGATATAATAGATCCTAAGCCTTCAGCACATTCTTGCGATCCTAACTTCCTAGCTCTTAAAAATATTAAAGAGAGAGGAGTGAGTGATAAGCTCTTGTCGATAATGCCTCAAATAAACTAAGTTCCATTAGTATAGCCAATGGGCAACCTAGGTCGAATTCTCCTAGTGAGTTGGATTTGAATCAAGCTAGAATGATGTTAAAAATATGATAAACAATGACAAAGAGGTCGGTTGAATTATCTAAGCAGTCACTAAAATAAAACTATTTTAATGTTTATGAATTTTCAAATTTATAAGTGAGATTAAAATGAATTAGTATTTGTGATCAATGTGTACGGGATCCTTAGGAGTGAGATTTGAAGCCTATCATAGCCAAATTAAATTGCCAAGTCACCTTAATTCATTGGTCAAATGAGCCTAAGTACTCACTCAAGCTTAGTTATAAAGCTTTTCAAAAATTCCTAGCATCCTATATGATTAATGGTAGTTCTATTTAACCAATTAGCACCACCAATGCACAATGAGCACAATGAGATAAAGTATGGCTAATGTACAACACAAAATTCACTTGAAAAATAAGTTCTAATTAGACAAATAAAGTTCCAAGCATCCCAAAATGATACGAATAGTATACTAGTATAATAACAACCAATATAGTGTCAACAATTACAATATAACATGAAGTTTGAGTTATATCCAGTGGCCAAATGCAAATTCCAACAAACAAGCCCAATATTCAATATATCATTACAAAATATCAACTAAGCATTTCATCAAACACATAGCTTACACTAGTCACAAAGTCCAAATTCTAATCAAGAAATAGAACTTGCAACTTGAATCAAGATAGAGATGACTTAGTCCCTTTCAATGCTTGGCTTAAGTGCTTCTCATCTTCTCTGAAGGATCGCAAGCCTCCTAGCCCCTCAAAGACACCTCCAAGCTTGAAAAAATTCAGAATCCTTGTTGCCATGGAGAGCTCAAAATCGCAGTAGAGGAGAGGCAAACTGGAGTGAATTCGGTATGGTTTTGCAAAAGGATATGAGAGGAATGTTTGAATCAGTTTGGATTTTGAATTGGTGGAGAATTTCTGCTGAGAATTGAAGAGAAAGAGCCAAAGAATGAAACTAGAAATGGAGGAGAAACAGAACGAAATAGAATTGGGAAGAAGAAGATAGATGATCGTCTGCGGGAATTCTCTACTAGAAGTGAACGTGAGTGCTCAATTTTTAATTGGATGCCAAATCAAATTGTATTCGAGTGGTCAGCACATGAATTATTGGGTGGAGAGAAGAATTCGGTGGAGGGGAATAATGGAATTGGCGTATGAATATGGAGTAAATGAGAAAAATAGAAAACCAAGTGATTCACGTGGATTTTTAATTTATTTTTGGAAGATATTCATTTATTTTCTTCAAAT